AAACGAATGTAGTTTCAGGTTGAAGTCATTCTAGAAAGAAAAGAAAGTTAATTTAGGTTTATTTCGATTTATTTTGGTGGTTACGAGGTTGGTCGAATTGACCAATACTGTTTTGAGATAGGGTAGAGAAAATAACCAAAACTATAAGAATTTAGTGAAAAAAAAACGTTTGAAATGCATTTAGGAGGTTTTAGGGATTACATAAAGGAAATTTGAAATTTTTTGATGACGAAAAGTATCATGAAAACATGAAAATCACTTTGCACTCAGACTAGTTAAAAAAAGAATCAATATTTTCACAAACAAATTTAAGTTATAATAATTCATTAACAAATCTGATTTTTTGTGTGTAAAAGGCTTCTAATGTTTACTATAAGTCTACAACGTTTTGTAAAGATACACTTAAAATATTAAAAGTTATTTGTATGTAAACTATAACGAGTTTATGGTTACGAGGTCGGTCCCAGGGACTGAGCCTGTGTAGGAAGAGTTAAGCCTTGTGCAGGCATGTTAAAAGTCATGTAAAGCAGAATCTATTTTTTAATAACTTATAAAAGTTTTAAACAATATGTCTTAATTCAGATCTGAAAGTAAAATAAAGCATTCATAAATATTTACACTAAACAAGCAGCTTTAATTCTGACAACTGGGAAATCTCTTACTTCGTTTTATCTGAACTTTCACATTTTACTGTTTTTTTGTTAATTTAGGAAAGAAAGCACCCTACCTTCAAGCAAGCTATAAACTTTAGCTGCTGTGCCATGATATCCAGTTTTGTATCCTTTTTAATCTCTTCACTTGTAGTAGCTATGAAAAAAAACAAAAAACTTGGTTTTACAGAATGAAACTGTGACATAAGAACATAATATCTTTACTCTATAACAGAAATACACCTTTGATTCTAATTCAATTTCCACATAGATCACACTTTATTGCTGATCAAGACTAGGATTTTGTCACTGAGAGTAACTTAAAAAGGTGAAGGAAAACGAGTACAAATATAGCACATCTTAAAGTAGGGTCTTGACATAGATTACATTACACCACTATTGTAAACTACAAGCTTCCTCTGTCAAATTTTTAATGATCACCTGTAATCTCCAACGTGCTACCACAAATCTACAAAAATGGAAGAATTAAAGACAAATTCTTTAACTGAATAAAATTCTTAAGAATTAACATATAAAAAAAATTATATCAATATATAACTTTAGATCTGAAATTAATACTTACAAATTATACCTTTTCTTAGATATATATAAAATAATTACAATGATATTTTATTAATTACATCACATAATTTAAGATTTTCTTGTTATATTACACTATAGATTTTGATGATTTATTACTTCTTTCTATAAAATAGTAAAAGATAAATTTAACTGTAATTTCTGTTTGTCAAACTATTTATATATTCTCTTTCTTTTCTCTTTGGTGTAGGGGTTATACATTAAAGGTAAAAAGTAGCATTTCATAGTACATTCAATATATTTCCATAGAATTATACCTTTTTCTTCATCATTGTAAACCTTAAATTTCAGACTAATTCCTTCTTCCTCATCGGAGCTTTCTTCTGAGTCATTCATCACATTAAATGAAGGAGGTTCATTCAAAGTCAAGCTAGAAACAATTGGTGTGCTCCAATCAAATTGTTCACCATTCTCAATAACTTTTGGACCATCCAGGGTTCCAGACTTTATGCTATTCATATTTTTGGACTTAAACTGAAGGAGAGGATCAGGACTTGGAGGAACACCCTCTTCAAAAACTGAGATATTCACTGCCACTCGGTCAGGTAATCTTGAGAGTACTTCAAGAGCTAATGCTGGGCAGCCAGCACGAAAATGATAATTTGCACTTGTAAAAAACAGTCGTCGTTCCAAGGGAGTGATGATATCACATGTTGCCTGAAAACAATTTCCACTCACTTTTACAAGCATACAAATATTGAGATTACAAAACAAATTTTTGCTTTTACAAATTGAATTCTATGTAATGGGTTGAACTTAACAATTATTACTGAAACCAATTAACATAATAACTTCTTTTGATGGCTTTACATAGATATATAAATATCAAACTTTGGCATCTTCAAATTTGCTTTAAAGAAAAAATCACCAGGCCTTTAACAAAATGTGTTAAAACACAAAATTAATTGATTTGGTCTATTACTGATTGACTTTATGATTAGATGAGACATATCTTTGAATCATATGAAAGGAGGACAGTATATAAAACAAAAACAGTTGTTTTTTTCTCACTTACAAGATGGATGTACCAGCCCTTATGACCTATAATCTTAATGCACAAAATCCACTTGCTACAAATTTTTATCCTCTGTTATTTGAGTGTAAAAGAAAACATAGTTAAAAATGCATAGTTCACTAAATCGTATGAAACTTTACAGTACATAGTTTTACACAAAAACCATTGATGTTGTTAATGTATTCTTGGTTTTTCTTTCTATATATCTACAAACTGTACAAAGGATCTACAACTTTTTTAATTCCATATATATATTTATCATGTATCATACATTTCACCGATAGCATGTCTAAAAGTAGGCCAAAAGATAAGAGTTGTGAATTTTACATAGAAAATTCATCCAGTTTTAACTTGTCAACACTTTTTTATTTGCACACACAAGCAACGCCCATATGGGTGGGGACTCGGGAAGGGAAGGAGAGGAAAAGAAAGAGAGAGAGAGAGACAAACATCCACACACACTTTGGTAGTATCTTTCAGTTTTGAAGGAAATATTTCATCATGCATCACCGGGCCCGAAGTACTGGTCGACCTAAACTCTACTAATTTGATATTTTACAGCTTACTGATATTTATTTCAATGATATGATTCTTATGAAATTTTTTTTTAGTTTTTGTACTATACTAACTTTAACTGCTAATGGTAATGGTGGTGATAACAGTGGGATAGGTGGCCAACATAAGGCATATGGGGGTGATAGGAGGGGCCTGGGGTGGCACCAGGGCCCAAAATTTCTCCGACAGGCCCTGCACACATCTACTATTTTTGCAACACCTACAACATAACTTATGATTCAGAAATAACTGCTACGACTTGTGTGAATGTTTTTCTAAGAAATCAAACAGTTTTGAGGATTTAAAAAAAATATGTGCTAAAAACCTAATCACATAATTGAAGTGCATGTCTTATTAAAACTGAGAACTGTGTATAAAGAAGTTACAAGGCAATACAGGGACAAAGCATATTATAATAGTTGTAATATATTATGTAGAATACTTTTATGGCTTATGATCTATTTAAACCACATGAAAAAGAGCAACCAAGATTTGCGTGTTTCTAATCGTGTTAGACTGAAACTTCAATATTTAAAATAAGCAGGCCTAGAGGATCATTCACAGTGACATTTTGTGTATTGATTGCAAAATGATCACATGCCTTGCAACTACAGTTACTAATGAATATGTTTTACAGTTTTGATTCACTAGGAACAATAAACGGCTGCAAGTTCACGTACATAACTACGAGCACAAAACTGACAACTGTATAAATACTATTAGTAATGTATAAGGTTACAAATATTGTTAAAAACATAGTATAAAAGAATTAATAAATTGTTACTCTTAAATAGTGAAATAAAACTGCTGAGTGTACCTGTAAAGCTGATTTTTGGTCAACTGGATCCATGCTGTATTTGAAACTAGATAGCATGAGAGAATGAACTTTCTTCTTGTCTTGTGCTGTCTGAGCTAGCTGTCTTCTAACAATCAAAGGATGTGTGCGAAGGTACAAGTAGAAATTGAACACACTTGGATTGGCTACACAAAAAAGAAAGCCACACACTTACATACCTTTTCATTTTAACACCAACAGCATCATAACATACAACAAAGCAACCAAGACATTTGCCTAGGGAAGTATTTGCTTAAAAAAAAAAGAAAAAAAATTCCTTGGCAGTGAAGTTGTTCAGCTTGAAAAGAGTGTAGTCCGATCAGCTACGAGTTATAGGGAAAAAGCAGTGTTAAGTGTAGCATATAATTCTACAAAGATCTAACTTGTGCCAGTATTCTTGTTAAAAATTCCTAGCTGCACCTCTGATAGAGAATATCAATATACAAACTTACTGAAGTCATTTCTTTTTATGTTACTTGTGATGACTCTGGATAGCACTAAACAATCAACATTAATTTGTATTATCTCAGGTTAATTACTGAAGACAATTTGTGACTGATTTCCCAGAAGCTGTTTATTTAAACATTACATTAAAAGATAATTCACAAACATCACGAAACTACTTGTTAAACAAAGTGAGACATAAGTTAGAAACTAGTCAATACCCCAGAACAATTATTTTTCATAAATTATGTGATCATAAGAATTAGACAAATTATTAAATCCCTGCAAGAAGCTGTAATCAAGGCTTTTTTGGCAAAATAAATTTGGAAAATAAAAATCAAATAAACTGGTTTGATTTTTTTAATACTTTGTCAAAGCTACACCAAGCCTATATACACAACCCATCACTAATTTTGAACTTAGAGACAAGAGCAAGTCAAGAGCACCTACTGCCAATTCTTGGGCTACTCTAATAAAATAACAAGTTTGACTGTCACATTTATAATACACCCAGGATCTGAAGGTGCAGTGTCATTAATTTTTTAGTAAATGTATGCAAACCACAGACCCTTGAAGCTACAAGCTGGCAAGCTAATCACTATCCCATTCTCTACAGGTTTCAGGTTTGCAAAATCTACTTTAATTTCAGTCATCCCAACAATACGAATATGATAACAAAATTCTGTAAATAAGAATATTTAACTGTCCAATGAAAATCCTGAAAGAAATTCAATATATTCAGTTACTATAAAACATATGTCACTTATATAAAAGTGATAATTGCTTTCAACAGCCTTGCTTTACTTCTTAACTATATCATACCAGTTTAATACCAAACTCAATAACTTTCTTTACCTTTTCTGCAAGTAAATAGTTATAATTAATAAATTAATACTAATTATTTGAACATAAAACCATCTGTATGCATTATGAAGCTATTTACCTATCAAGCTGATCCCCAGTTAATCAAAAAATTTGTAATATGCACAAAAAGCCATGTCATACCAACTTTAATAATTAGGTCATTTGTTGATCTAAATACAGATAAACTGTCTTTTTAATGATTGAGTTATTATTTTTTTCCATTGCTGAGAAAGTTTGACATACATAATTATTTAAATACTACCCAAAATTTACCTTACCTTTGTGTGAATGAACTTACAGGTCAATTGCCCATCCTATACATAGTTGATCTATAATAGGTGCCTGTTTTTTACCAAAATTTGTCATCACAAAGTTCTTTTAACCCACTGGCATGTCAACAACAGGAGATAACTGAACAAATAAATGATATAGAAGCTCAGCCTCAAACACAAAAAATAACACAAATAAGCCCTTCTAGTAGACTGGTGTGGAAAAAATGATCAAAACCACAATTCCTTGCAATTATGTAAAAGATACATTTTATATAATCAAAACAGAAAATGTGATATCCAAAAAATAAAAGAGTGCTCCATATGATATTTCATTTGTTTGTAATTTAACCACAAAGCTATACAATGATCTATCTGTGCTCTGCCCACCACGGGTATTGAAACCCAGTTTCTAGAGTTGCAAGTCTGCAGACATACCACTCTGCCACTAGGGGCATGATATTTTGACATTATTTGTTTGACCTTAGCACAAACCTACATAAGTGCTATCTCCACTAATTATGAACTGATAGACAGCTAGATAACATCACTAACCACAAACTCATAGGATCCAGCATGCCAATCACTAGGCCTTGTCCAGCCTCTTTTATAACATACAGCTTGTTAACAAAAGAAAGAAAGCTGTTACTTTACCCAAGTAATGACAGTAACATTAAAGTATAATGATTGAAAATTAAATTGAAATAATAACAGTTAAGAACAAGTGAACAAACATAGCTAACCAGCCTGAAGCAACAAGCTTGAAAGGTTTACAGACAGGCCCACTGAGAGGGGGGGGGAGGGCAACTGCCCTGGAGCCCGTGCATGCCCAAGGGCCCATAAAAAATGCCCCAACTTTAAACTCGACTTTTTTAAAAATTTGCATACTCTTAAGCTAAGAATCCATAGACCAGAAAAACTGATGCGAAATTAGTCTACAAACCAAGCCAAGTTCAAAATGGAAAATAGCATACCTTTGGACTGAATAAAGGAATTTCCTTCAAACACAGTTATAACAATAGAACATTCAAAAACTGCTGGTAATGCTAATGAAGTAAAAACAAAGACTTTGGAGTTAAAGTCAAAGACAAAAAATTTGCACTTAAGAGATTTGTGCACTACAAGCGCTTTCCAGTGCACCGTCCAAAATTCCAGCATAACTTCCGCCAACTGCCAAATATTCTAAATTTAGAACACGGCGACCTCCTTCCTGCTAAACCTCGTGTAATGTGCAGTTCTGCATCCGGGACGCCTTGCGCCAGGGCCCAATCGCCACATACTTCCGTGTTGTTAAGTGTTCAATGCAAATAAATGTAATTAATTGTTTAATCATCGATTGTTCTTAATTACATATATATTAGGTTATTTCCTTAGTAGCAATGTAGCTTTCTTTTAATGTTGCAAACGGCCTAAAGACTTAAAATCCAAGATTTTTAACTTTTCCGATCATCCTACTGGCTTACGCTTAGTCACTTAGGCCTAGTATAATATCTATATTAGGCTAAGCGTCAAGGTTAAACTTCATATCAAAAGAATGATTTGTTTTTTGTTAAATAATGCAATATCTTATTGTTATCACTTATCAATATCTTATTCTCAATATCTTATTAATTGTATCAATATCAAAGTTTTCAATTAAAGTATTAATTTAAATTAAGTGCAACTAAAACAACAAAACTTTGTACTTAACTTAGCCTAACTGAATTTTGTAAATTATTCATTTTCATCTCCTGTTGATTCGTGACTCTTCCAAATCATTAATAATCAATCGATGTTGATCAAATTGAGGCAAAACAGAAATTTTTAAATTAAAATATGTATACAAAAATTTAATATCTAAAATAATAATAGCAGAAAAATATATTTAGTTTCATAATATATAACAGAATTGATAAGGAATAAATGATCATAGTATAGCTATACCCTTTTGTAGATACTCTAAAAATATATCTTTCCAGATTTTTACAATAAAGTTACTATTGAATATTAGTTGAAGATTTCTCAGCATACTTCATCATTTTCTTAACAAATATTCATAAAAAATAATTCCTGGTGATTTATAATTTTTTTAATGATAAAATATTAAATTACTATAAAAGTTTGTATCTGAAAAAAAATCAGGATTAGTACCCAACAACCCAAACCTGAAAACCCAAGTATTCATTTTTTGCATAACATGTTATCTTATATGCTTTATACGTCTTTAGTATAGATATGTATGTTATTAAGTTATAATAAATGCTTTACCAGTGTAATAGCTAATGTTTTGTGCATTAAAAGGAAAAAATACACAAGTACCTATAATCTATATACTAACAAAGCACTCTCACAGGTAGTCAGAAATCATGAACAGGAGGAGTAAAAATTCAGAAATGTGGAGCTTTTTTGTCCCAAAATTTTTTTTCCAAAAATCCAACCAAAAACCCACTGAAATATTAGGTGGGTTTTTGGTCTTAGATGTTAAATTTTTTTCATTCCTTCCAGAATTTCTGTCATGTCATCTAACCAGCACAGATCTGATGCACAAAAGAGTCGTGAATGGGAGGCTCATCAAGAAAGGGAGAAGGAAGTGATCAGGGATTGTCGGAGGTTATTTGAGGTTGGCTCCAGCACGATCAGCAGCATACAGATCCAGTACATAGGCCTATCTCATCAGGCTCAGTTAATACCAGCACTGCTGGAGATTATGATCATGACAGTAGGCTTGACATAGAAGATCAACATGAACTGCCAGCTAGGCCAGAAAGCCCAGAAACACAGACAGAAGCATGTGCAGAGACGGTCCAAGAAGGCCACAAGAGTCAGCATTCAACAGAAAACAAACCTTATACATATGGAATTGATATTGGACTTTGCCCATCAGACATCCCAACTAAAGAATATATAGAAGACATGATTTGGAAAGGGCTTCTGCCACACCCAAAAGATTTTACCAGACGAAAATTTCCAATGCCTATTCTCAAAGTCAGAACACAAAATGGCGAAAGTGAGAGCAGACTATGGCTTGTATTCAGTCCTTGTATTGCCTGTCTTGTAGGCTTTTCTTTCATACAGTGGGCTCACAACTGCAAAGGTCACAGTCAATCATGGCATCCAAACAAGGCTAGGATACAGAACAGAAATGGAAAAAGCTGTTTGACAGGTTGCCTCAACATGAAAACAGTACAGCACACAAGAACTTTTATCTAGCATGGTGTGAGTTGGAGAGAAGGTTAGAAAGTGATACTGAGATTGATGTGATACCTCACAAAGTAATCATGAGCAAGACTGAGAAATGGCAAAATATACTTATGAGAATAATTGATGTATTAATTTTTCTTGGCCAAAGAGGACTTGCTTTCCATGGCTCATCCCAGCGAATTGGCAACATTCATAATGGACACTTCTTGGGGATCATTGAACTCCTGGCCAATTACGATCCAGTTCTAGCCAAACATGTTGCAAAGATACGAGCTTCTCAAGAAAAAGGTGAACAGCTTCAAGTTCACTATCTCTCAGGTTCATCTCAAACTGAATTCATCAGTAACTGCAGAGATTATGTTCGGAGGCACATTTTGGATGAAATAAGAGCCGCAAAATATTGTTCAATCATGGTTGATGCAACACTGGATTCTAGCCATGTGGAGCAGACAATGTTCAATCATTATTTGGCCAAGAATGATACCGAATTTTTAATCTTTGTTGGTTGTTGTATAAAGACGGGGCTGAATTAGCAAGCTTGATTATGGAAACACCCAAGCATTTTGTGATACCTATAAAAGATTGTCATGGACAGGGTTATGATAATGCTCCCAACATGTGTGGCAAGTACAATGGTACCCAACAGCACATACTTGCTGTTAATCCACTGTGCATTTATTCTCCATGTGCCTGCTATTCACTAAACTTATGTGGAGTAGATTCTGCATCATGTTGCATGGAGGCAGTTACATTTTTTGTAGTAGTGCAAACAGTTTACAATTTGTTTTCTTCCAGTCCTCAGCACTGGGCTATTCTCAAGGAGCATGTGGGCAAATCCATCTATGCTTTGTCAGGTACTCGTTGGAAAGACCGAGTGGCAAGTGTGAGACCATTTGCATCTCATCTTGCTGAAATATGACTCATGCTAAAGAAACTTCTGTCTCTCAACCTCACACAATAAACCATTAATAAAGTCAATAGTGTAATCAAATACGTGTCATCCTTCATTTGCATCCTTATTCATCGATGTGGCTGAAGATTCTTGTACAAATAGTCAGGAGAAATCAGATCATCCAGGCAAGAGATGCTACAGTGGATGTAGAGGTCTCAAATCTAAAGTCGCTCTTGACCGATCTTGAAGATCTATGTGGGAAATGGCCACAGATTTTAAATGAAGCGAAACTGGTTGCTGAGGAAATTGAAATTGAACCCCATCTCCCATCAAAATGGAAAGTTAAAAAAAAGAGCAAGACTTATTGTCATTGAGGAGGAGGATGAACAAGAAAATACTTGTGATGGCTCTGATGAGCCTGAATCTGAACAGAATATCTTCTTTGTTGTCATTGATTCGGTGAATCTTGAAGATCTACGTGGGAAATGGCCACAGATTTTAAATGAAGCGAAACTGGTTGCTGAGGAAATTGAAATTGAACCCCATCTCCCATCAAAATGGAAAGTTAAAAAAAAGACTTATTGTCATTGAGGAGGAGGATGAACAAGAAAATACTTGTGATGGCTCTGATGAGCCTGAATCTGAACAGAATGTCTTCTTTGTTGTCATTGATTCGGTGACTGACAGAGTGTCAAAGCGGTTTGACGCTGCAAACACAATTAATAGATTGTTCTACGTTCTGTGGAAATATTAAAGTATGACAGAAGAGGAGCTCAAACTTGCATGCGCAAGATTAGTGGACAAATACCCATGCAAACTTTGGTGAAGATATGGGGCCTTATCAACTTTTAAAAACAATAAAAACGTACAAGTTAGATGGCATTTTTCCAAATGTATGTATTGTACTGCGAATATTCTGCACATTGCCAGTTAGAGTAGCATCTGCTGAAAGATCTTTCAGCAAACTAAAACTCATCAAGAGCTTCTTGAGGAGCACCATGACACAGGAGAGACTGAATCACCTAGCCATCCTTAGTATTGAGTGAACTCGCAGGGAGAATTGACTTCAGTGAAATAATAAAAACATTTGCTTTAAAAAGGCACGTAAAGCATGTTTCGTTTAGTTATCACAATTCTGCATTACTGAACTCATTAAAGTAATTCTTGACAATGTGTTTAAACTTTGAATAAATTATCCGATTAAATGAACAGATGTTTAAGTTTTTTCTTTTCTCTAAATGATATTGTTGTTTGTTAGAGGCCGTTCTTTTGTCCACGGAAAATTTCACAAAGGAAGTCGGCACTTTAAGCCCTAACTTAGTGGTATTAAGACTTAAAATATTTCTAAAATTACTAAAAGTCAAGAGCTTCCCTATTGGTCTCCCATCAGGGGCTCAGCTTCTGGATCCCACCGGGAACTCGGGGCGACCCTAGCCTTGGGGCCCACTGCCACTCTTGACGGCCCTGTTTACAGATGTAATACAAGAGACTTCTACAGTGGAACTACTTGTGACTAGCAGCAGAAAAAATAACTTTGTAAATGATAGGAATGTTTCAAACATATTTAGTGTTGTGCTGAGCAGTATAAAGAAGGAAGAAAGAAACAAAGTAGAGAAGATACATAGAGTGAAAAAACTTTTATAGTAAGGAATATTGTAATTCATGTGTTTTTAACAAGCTTTGAGTAAAATAGATGCAGTTTTATTATTACAATCCACCTGATAATTTATTGCTAGATTTCTCATCATCTTCCTGTATTCTTAGATGAGACTGTCCAACTCCAGTTTGGAGGAGTGTATTCAGGGCTCCACTATAATCCTGCAAAAGCCAATGTGCCATACTTCTCAGGAAAGGATCAGGATGAGCATGTGGCATAGAGTAGTTGTTGCCTTCAGCATCATAGCCTAGGATTTCTTCGTAGATGAGTCTTCGAAGGTTTGTAGAGGTTATTTCTAAATCTCCTTCATATAAGCGAACAATAACCATGGCAAGCTGGAGATCATTAAGCTTATTTAAACACACCTAAAACAAACCAAAAGGTAAAATAAATACAAGCTTATATAAACAAATTATAAGAGTATTATTCATTCATATATGTGTTTAATATCTTGCAACATAACTACAAAATCGTTTTTGACACATTCCAAAATAAAGACACACACATAGTGCATCTACCTCTGGAAATGTGGTTGATTAACAAAGGTCACAATTATTACAATATAAAATACCCCACTACAGTTGTTGCATATTAATTACTTTATCATATGTTTAAAGCTAAGAACAAAAAAGATGATTAACTTACTAGCTTACAGTAAGATAAATGCTAGTTCTTCTCCATTGCACTATGGGAAAACTGCTCATTTCATTCGTAACACGTGTTGTTTTCTTAGCAGGAAAGGGGGATGTACCAAATTTTAAATTATAATTTAGGAATATTAGAAATTAGCATTATCATTAGCACTCTAAAAGTAAGGCTGAAGCTATATAAAAAGTATTTTTCAACTTCTCTTCATTAGAGATTATATGTGTCAATCTGATACATGTTGTTTTTAGGTCACAAATTAAAACTACTGGATTTAGTTACATATAATTGTTTTAACCCTTTCCATGTCACATTTTTTTGCGAATTTGCTCAAAAAAGGCAGTTTTTTTATTTCTTTTTATGATAGCCTATTGTAATACAAGATAAAATGTGAATACATTGGGCAAATATTTAATAATATAGTGAAAGATGATTTGTCCCAATTAACCCTATCACCCCGGGTATACTTTACTGTACATGACACAAGGTTTTAGTGTCTTACATTCAAAATTTTATTAAACTAATTTTTTTGTTTGTTATACCAATTAGAATAGCATAAAATCTTAGCTATCAATCCATATTTGAATAGTATACAAGTTTTAAGTTCTTAAGTCTACAAGGGAATATTTAAAAAAATCTTGAATTTCCACTAGTGTGACCCACATGACACATTTTGTCTTAGCATGTCACCATCCCTATTTTATCCATCACCCACAAAAATGTATGAAATTAAGCGTAAATTACTCTATAAAATCGTTATTAATTAGACAAACCACAATTTTTATAGCCTTCAATTTTGCTTGGTTATGGAACTATCAAATAGAAAATCAGACCCCTCCTGCCACAATTGCCAAATTGAGGCCGTTCTTTTGTCCACGGAAAATTTCACAAAGGAAGTCGGCACTTTAAGCCCTAACTTAGTGGTATTAAGACTTAAAATATTTCTAAAATTACTAAAAGTCAAGAGCTTCCCTCTTGGTCTCCCATCAGGGGCTCAGCTTCTGGATCCCGCCGGGAACTCGGGGCGACCCTAGCCTTGGGGCCGCTGCCACTCTTGACGGCCCTGTTTACAGATGTAATACAAGAGACTTCTACAGTGGAACTACTTGTGACTAGCAGCAGACAAAGCTACAATAGCGAAACCACAGCCAAGGGAACTGGCTTGGAAAAATCAGCAATTCCAAGATTCTACAAGAAAAGCTTTTCTTTTGTTTTGAAATTAATGTTTCAGAATTTGTTGATAGTTCTCTCTCTTACGTTTCATTATATATTACTTATAACCAATAGAAAGTCAATGTTTTCATCTATCAAAAGATGTATTGTAAACATTGTATTCTGAACAAAATATCATCATTTTCACTCAACAGTACAAGATTCGTTCCCATGGGAAAGTTAATGACTAGCTTGGATGAATTTGTAACGGCTTTTGTCACATAGATAGAAAACCAGGACTATTTTGAGAGGTAAGTGAATTTGTCTACTTTTTGGATGTTATTAGTCTATATTCTTTGGTGCATTATGATCTATAGTATAAAAAAATTAGAGTTAACTGTCTTCAAAACCCAACAGCAGGAAAAAAGAAGATTAGGTAAGTACTTTATTCCTTGTTTTTCATATTTATTCTTTATTTATTATTGTAAAAGTAACCAAAATCTAAAAATAAAGATCTTTTTAAGTTATTCAAGAGAAGATTAGGTAAAATAAGTAATAATAATAATATAATTAGATTGGTTCACGAGGCACGCATGCAAGCAGCTCATGGGTAATGTAATTCGATAATGTAACGTGAGCTGCACATGCTGAGTGATTTACAACTTATAATAGTGCGGATAGTAGTTAGACATGGTTCAAAGGGCAATAAAACAATAAACTTTAATTATAAATAGATGTATAATGTTATGAACTTAGAGCTACTTAGGATAAACAAATGTATTTTCATGTTACAATTTGAAGATATTCTAGAGAGAAAAAAGTTAATTTAGGTTTATTTCGAATTTTTTTTTTTTGGTGGTTATAAGGTTGGTCAATTTGACTGATCCTGTTTTGAGATAGGGTAGAGAAAACAACAGATAAACTATAAAGTATTACTGAAGAAAAAACGTTTGAAATGTATTTTTAATTTTGACATGGAAATTACTTTGCACATGGACTATTGAAAACAAATACTCAATATATTCATGGAGAAATCTTTATTTTATATGATTAAAAATACTTCACTAAGGAATATGTGTTTTTGTATGTGAAAGACTTATAATATTAACTGAAAGACTGCCAAATATCGTGACGATATACTCACTATATTGTGAGTTAAGTATTAAATCTATAAAGACTTTAAAAGGTCACGTGGTTGGTCAAATTGACCAAGCCCTTATTGAGAGTGTAAACTCAGCCAAATATTCTTTGAACAATGGAGGGTGTCCAAGTCATCTTGGGCAAATCATGAAAGGGGTTAATATTTTTATTAATTTTTAGCTTCTTATATTTTTGAAAGAATGTTGTGAAACAGTTTTCATAGAAAAATATACATTCTTTTGTCTTATTTATTTCTTTTGTTTTTTTTTTGTCATTAGCCTAAAACCTTGCAAATGTATCCAGAATATGTTTTGTTCATAGTTAAAATTCTTCTGTGTGTTTTATTCTACTAACACATTATGTAATTTTCTTGTCAGTACATCAGATCATTTACATACAGTCATAAAAATATGGACAAAATAAGTAAAAGAGGAAATGTTATCATACTATTGATCAGAAAGTTCCAATTTCAAGATTTCAACCTTTATATTCATTAACATATTTCAGTTTGCCATTTGCTTTTATTATATTTTTCTGGCCTACTGGAGCAGTTATATAGCAGTTGTATCTGAATTCTTGGTACAGAAAAATATTTCTGTAGCCTACAAATGGACACAGTCAAAAGCAAATCTAGTATCAGCTACAAGAAAAATTTCTTCAGAAATAATAAAAAATCCCAATTCTCTAGCTCTTTCACTATGGGCTCTGTCAAATCACCCAAGTTCATGACCCCAAATTGTCCTTTATAGTTTCTATATGATAACTTCTAATATGTTTAGTGTAGCTTCACAAAATTTTTCAAGCTTCCAATAATTATTAGTCATTTGTAGACAAAACATCAGATTTTTTACTCAAGTATTTTCACTAAAACTTTCTCTGTAAATATATGGAGTCAAAGTGTTGACAGCTCTGAGTGTAAAGTAATTTTTCCCATGATCATTAAATATACGTTTTTTTTTTATTCACATGAAAAATCTCAAATTTAATTTGTGTAATCTCTAAGACCTGCTAAATATATTTAAACTTTTATAAAAGTAAAATTATATATTTTATCTGTTATTTTCTGTACCCTAACAGTACACGAGGTTGGTCAAATTGACCAACCTCATAACCACAAAAACAAATCTAAATTACCCTTTTTTCTTTAAAAAATGACTTCAAGTTGTAACATGAAACTACAATCGTTTATTCTAAATAGCTTTAAACTGGTAACAGCATATAACTTTTTATATTTAAATTTTATTGTTTTATTGTCCTTTGAACCATGTCTAATTAATATTTGCACCATATAATATGCAAATCACATTACCTTATTGAATTAAATAATGTATGGAATACTTGCGAGTTGATTTCATAGTATCATTATTATTATTACTTATTTTACCTACTATAACCTAACAAGTTTCTAATTTTTACATTTTACTTACATTTATAACAATAAATAAAAAATACACATGAAAAACAAGAAATAAAGTACTTAACTGGGTCTTTTTTATATTAATGGTACTATTACATTAAAATTTTTATTTAATTTAGTAATGCATCAAATAACACAGAATAATAACATGCAAAAAGCAGACAACGGAACATAATTATTCCAATTTTTCTGGCTTTAAGTATTCGAGAAGAGCAATTAAAAATTCAGCTAAGTTCATTGAAGTCTTTCCTGTGAGGATAAAGTTTGAACTGGAAGTGAAATAGAAATTTCTCTGTACAGAAAACAATGTAATATAATGTATCATTTGAAAGATCAAAACCTTGGCTTTCTGTTGGTTATAATTAATATAGCATTAAACATCAGAGATAACTAATGGCAATTTCTGAAAGAGAAGATGTGACAGGTGGGTGTGGCAAAGGGGGTCCGATTTTCTATTTTATGGATCTTTAATCAAATAAGGTTGAAGGCTATGAAAGTTATGCTTTCCCTGAACGATGACAATATTATAATGAGTAATTTACATTAAACTTCGTACTTCTTGTAGGGGTTGTAAATAAATTAGAGAAGAGAGGACACCAAACAAGCAAATGTTACAATTCTCACGCTAGGAGAAATTGGATACTTTTTATAAATATTCTCTTATAAAATTAAGAACTTAAATCTTATAAATTGCTAAGATTTGAATTATTGTCTATGTTTTCATACCAAGTTTATTCATATACTATGATGAAAAAGTTGTTTAATTACATTTGTAATGTAACTCACTAAAACTTCATGACATGAGCAGTAAAAGATGTCTGTAGCAAAAGTGTTAAGTGGTTGTGAAATATTTTTACATAAGCTATGTTCAACCTTTATGTGAAGCATTAATGGACATCTTTAAACTTACAAAGGGAGAAGAATGACATAAGAAATCATTGGCTTGTTTTTACATCATTTTGAAACTCAGCATCTCCCATTTTACAGTATTTTATAGCTGGAGGACTTATCTATTTTCAAAGCTGAGATGCATGCCTTTTTATCTAAACCTTCCTTAAAAGGTATATGTATTCAACTACTAATTCTTAGCTCAGTTTATAACATGGTTCTAAAAAATTAAAATTACACTGTCTATTTTGTAGTTCTACACAGGTTACTGATAGCAAAAAATATAAGTTATGACAGCCATATAAAAAGAAAGAAAACACAGAAACTGCATAATATATAAATCAGTTATCTGCAGACATTAATAAAATAAAAGTTTAGATATTGATATCTATACAGTTCACTAGTTAAATGTCATAATATAATTTCTACAACATTTTTAAGCACAAATATTATTGACAAAGATTAGACTTATATCTTTAAACTAAATATTGGAAGAAGTGCAATGGAAAAGTCTGATAGATATTGCATAACACTGTAAGCAAAAAGGCAACTGCTGTTCACATCCATGAGTTAACATAGTATTTTGCCATACACTATCTGCAACTGACAACAGTTTACTGAGAAGAATAGTGATTTTATCAGCCACTCACCAGAAGTCACTATTGAACTATTTTTGTAATCAACAATCTACAAAAAACATTAGTACTATATTTTTGTAATATACAAATAACAGAAACTTTCATACTTCAATAGCATCTCGAATTGCTCCTGCGAGCAGGAAGAAGGCAGCAGCATGTTCAAAACGCTGTTTCCCCAGAAGTGCAAAAGCATTTTTCAAAGCAGATTTCCTCCACCGGTCTTCAGCAAAGTTGTTTTGGAAAAACGCAGTCATCTTCTGATCACTGACAGACCTTGAACGTGTTATGAAATGCATTATAATTCTTGCTACATCTCAATTAAGTATATTTCAGATTAAAAAACTGTTTAGGATTTTTCTTAAACTGATTAGATGCATAAAAGTATTATATATATATATGACAAGAGATAAGTTTAGTTAATGGAAAGTAACGAAGAAATATTTACAAAAATTTGTATATTGTATTACTTTGCTCAAGGCTGTTATTGCTCATACTTTCAAACTTTCAATATGTAATGGAAACCTATTTTTATTCAGTTTATCTGACACTTCTAGAGAATTATCACTAACATAATTATACATAAGTATAAAATTCAAGCAAAACATACTTTCATTTAACTTGTATCTTGTGCAAAAGCAAGCAAACAACAAATGAAAATCTAGAAAATTTAAATTTTAACTCTTTAAATATTTAAGTCACCTGAACAGGCCCCAAACAATATTCTTCTTCCTCATAGCAAGATAAAATAATGCTGCATCCAAAGGATCATTTCTCGATTGGAAAGCACACTTTGCTACCTAATCAAAAAACAAACCCAATATTGTTATTGTTAAAAATACATTACCAACAGTTTTATTGTTTTGAGAATTATTTTTTTCTTCTGACAATCACATTGGAATTAGTATGGTACAAATCCATTGGTGATAGCTGAAAATTTTGCCAGTTCTGAAAACTTAACACTTACAACCAAATCTTTCCCTCCACATTTGCCAACACATATACAGTCATCATTCGTACTAGAGTTATGGAATAAATCACTTTTCAGGCTCATGAATGTGTGAAAGAAAGGTGACAGATGAACCAATTCTGTATACCACTATTTCTTGTGATGCTTTTCTGTACTGGTTCTTTTCTGGCCAAAACCACCATTACAAACTTTTGTATCCAATATGGAACTTACTTAACCATGTTAATATAACTTATTACTAAGTCAAAAATATAAATGTAAAGCTTTACATATAATATAGTTACCAACTTAGTATACCTTATTTTCTGAGACAGAAAGCCATCATTCACAATCCTAGTAGACCAAAAAATTGCTAAAAATGTTTCCTTCAAAAATACAGTTTAGACAAAAAGCATATCTTTCAATCACAAGTTGTTCATAAGTAATTTGCATGTGAGATTTTACAGTTTTATTATTAATATAATGGAAAATTATGAATATTGTTTCTAAATGATTGTATTTGTATTACTTTAAGTAATCACTTTAGTTACTTAGCTGAGTCTATATCCTGTTTTAAAGTACTAGAAGGTTATTACGTCCATGCTTTGACAACATGAACCCAAATAAGTAAGAGCTTAATTTATTGATAAAGTTCTTATAGAAACAACTTACTTATGTTCACCAGTACAAAACTGTATTTACTTGTACCAGTTTTTAAATAATAATAGCTTATAACCTTTTTTTTTTGGTGGAATCACCCAATAACATTTGTTCAAGTTTTTGTAATTTCTCCCAGATAGCTTTATATCATGAGGCACCAGTAAAATAAGCAACTAAAACAATTTCCTAAAATAATGACTTGTCTGAAAAAATACAAAAGATTATATTAAACTCCACTTATTGAAGATTCCAAATGATTAAGAAATACAAAATTTACTTTATAACAAAATTAATGACAATCTTATTTTCACTTGTGAAAAAAAAAATAAAAAAATCCTAATAGCTCACGCATAGAAAAGTACAGATATAATTTTATTTACTGTTGTTTTATACCCCAAGTAATTTTTCACCATTTTTCTCACCTGGCTCTATATTTGACCTCAAACTGTATGCCATCTGAATGTATATTTCACCTTACAGTGTGTAGAGTGAATTACCACAAGTTCTTTTTTCCAATAAAGATGACTATAATTCCTAAATCTAAAAGAATCCTTTCCTTGATTATCACAATGTTATTCAGTCACCCATTCAAACATTTTTCCAGTGCTGTTCTAGCATGCTCTGGAACTTTAATTGAATTTGTGTTGAGGCAAACTCATTTGTTCTTGAATTTTTCAAAATTAATTTGTTTCAGAAGAGATATTTGACTTACTCTACCAATTACTTTTTAAATTTAACATTTATGGAACACCAAGGAGTATTTACATACAGCTTTGTTTCTTTTACTAATTTTCACTGTTGTACTGCAGACACAATATTAACAGCATTATCATGCACACATCAAAAAATCTTGTCATGAATGTAGAAATCTTTGATGATGGTTAGGTTTTAAGTTTTCACGAGTGTGACTATCCTTCATTTTTTAGGTTCAGGTCAACATTTCTCATTTCCCAATCCTGAAGAAAGAGTCATTACCATAGTGAACGACTCTGCGTTCAGAGATATATATTTGGAATTATGTAGTTAAATTCCAAGTATGATATCAAGGCTTTAAAACCCTTGGCTCCTAATATATTTAGTTGCTGCAAGTCCATAAATGTCACGTCAGTTATCAGAGTCAATGTTTTCAATCCTATTTCAGTCTCACTGGTGTAGATGTTTAAAAATATGTCAAACTGTTGGTTCTTGTGGGTTATTTTCAATATATGTTTGTCTTGGATGTTATAATTTTAAATGATTATTCAATGCACCCGTACTTGTTAAATTGTGAAATAATTGAGCTTCACACAACTTACATTTCCCTTTCTTCTCTCCTTTCTTAAAGTATTTCTGCATCATTATTATTATTAAACCTTCTCATTCCCAAGGAAATATATAAATTAAGCCATCCAATGAAAGCTATGCCAATCTCATGAGATCTGTTCATGAGCATATAGCTGTGATACACTAGCATAGTATGGAAAATTACCATGCAACTCAGTAACACTGTGAATCAATAATATTATGATGAATTATGTGTAAGGTTACACACTGATAGAAACAAGAAAACTTGAGAATCAAACTTACTTTTATAGCCTAAACATATTTTAAGCTTTTTTTGGTACTTATGTTTAAACACTTAATAAAATTACTGACATTTAGTGTGCTAAAAAGAGGTTTAATATTTAACCATCTAAAACATAGTTTAAATATTTTAGCAAACTAGTTTAATTTTTTTATCCACTCTTATCAGTGCTTACAATAAATGTTCAGATATCAAGTATTGAAATTATTAATTATTTTTTTATAAAAATTTACCTTCTATCATTCAGTAAAATCAATGTTTTACAACAAACAGTGAACTACAGCACCTTGAATAAATATAGCTTTCAGTACTTCTTTTCTAAGCAAACTAATTTTTCTAACAAGGTTAAGACAAACCTTTTCAACTAGTCTACGTAAAGTGTTGTTGCTTTTCACCCACCAACCTACACCAACTTCTCGAAGCTCACACCACCGTGGGTTTCCTCTCTGCATGCAGGGAAGAAACTGTAGTAATTCCTCTTCTGTCTCAGAATGGAAGGCCCAAACAAGACAATCTGTGCTAAGCCCTTGTCGTTGGAGTTGAGCACGCTGTACAATTGGTAGGCATCTAAGAAGGTATGTGTAATGACGCATAGCAAGCAGAAAACGTAAACCACAATCATCTAAAGATTCTACAAAAAGGAAAATAATGCCTCCATTACCTTTTATACTTACACTTCATTATGTCGCAACATTTGAGACAAACCTTAATTTCTTAATGCACTGCTTTGAATATTACTAAAGAATCAATTACCTTTAAAAAAAAAGATTTTCTTTGTAAGAAATAGTACTGTTACAGAAAACTAGGAAAAAAATAAATAGCCGGACCTTGATTTGCCAATAGAATATACTGAACTGTTAATGTAAGCGGTTTCTTGTGACAGGAATTAAAGAGGGGGAAAATATTAATATAAAATATAGTAACAAAAAATTCTAATGAACCTTGTACCCACGATTAAAGTTCAATATTTTGACTAATTGTACGATATGTTAATGCATGCAAATCACATGTATATACTTCAGTAACACTATACATTTCTTTTGAAAGAAAACACAAAATAGTGAATATTCTTCTGATAAAACAGCAAAAACTGTGGAGTGTAATATGTAACCCACCATTTTTCAGTGACCTTGAGGACATATCAAATATGCTTCTCCAACACTGAACTAATAAATTACTTTCAATAGAAATTTGCTTTCATTTCTTTGTCATTTAGTAAAAAGTTTTACAGACTATGAGACTTGTGTGTTTCTATTTAGGATTTATCATTTAATAGACACTGAAAAAAGTTTATTGGGACTGTACTTTCCATTTAATGTTTTGGTGTATTTTTAACAACAATAATAAATTTGTTAATTCATGTTGAATTTGATAAACTCAATTGAGTAAAAATTGAAATTTGAAGAATTGTAAAAAAAAATATGCAAATCTCAGCAAACTCAATCACATCAGTGCATTACAGTGCACAGAAAAAGAATAAGTATTCACGAGTGTGAATGTAGAAATAGCCATTGCACATTGAGGTGCGTCACACTTACTGGTGGAGAGTTCTGCTGCAGGATGACATCATCATGCAGTGGTGCAAATTCAAGTGTTTTCATGTGTGACTAGTTTGTAGTTTTCACGAGGCTGGTGGCATGCAAATTCTTTGGAAGAATGTGCAAAATCAAGAAAAAAGAAGCTGTCTGTGTGAGCAAGTGAGGTATCATTTGAAACCAGATCCCAGACACTTCACATGACACACAAACGTAAAAATTTTGAGCCATGGTATAGCAGCTCATAGAATGGCTACAAGTTTTTTTTTCCCCAAGTACAAACTTTTAGCTCCTAGCTTCATCATCTCTTGACTGATATGAGATCTAATTTTAGTTTAGGGCTCAGTAGGTCAAACCCTTTTGAATGATGTATTTGATCACACCCAAGGTCTCAAGACTAATTTAATCTAAACCTGCCTAAAAAAAATTTCAATTTGAGGGTAGGCTGGAAGAGATCCTGATCAGTAACAAAATTGAATCAGGTATACTCACGCCACATACTTGGTATTGCTGGCACACAAAAATATTGTTAATAAAAAGGAAATACAAGTATCAAAGATTAATTTACTCTAACCCTGTCTAAAAGAATTTCAAGTGCCATGGCTACTGACCTCTTGTTTTTTGTTTTTTTTTCAAATTAAAAAGTTAAAAATTAGATAGAGAAATTTTGATGCCAATTTTATTGATATACATCGATAATAAATTCATTTAAATAAACTTTGAATTCAACACTGTAAAATGTTGTGACATGTACAAAAGAGCCAGGTCTGGATGCAAAGACTTGAAAGTTTTTTAAGTAATGAAACTTTTCTGATTGTACATAAAATATTGTGTAATCATAGACTTTCATTTATGACAAAGAAATGAAAAACACAACCTTCCAGTGAAAGTACAACAATACAACAGCATTTATTTTTATTGATATGGAATATTCCAAGTGTTAGACTTTCTATTTCACATTTGTAACTCGTATCAATAAATTACCTGTGGTGGCTTGGAGGTTCATTCCATCAAGTTTGTTTGATACCAAACCATTACCAGCAGCTATATAAAAAAATGGACATATATATAGAATTATTTAATGAATCTAGAAAAACAGTGTTTCAACTGAACATAGAACTCTTTCTACTTAATAAAATCCTTTATAAGGTTGTAAAAAAAGTGAAATTTCAGGTAAAAAAAAAGGTCAGTCACTAACTCATACATTTATTTTACACTGTATAGTCTATTTATATATATAATACATTTAATAGTATTCACATATTTAGAAAGAAGCTAAACTTTTAACAATCATCAAGAGGAAGTTAAAATTATGGATAAAAATTACATACTCATATCAAAGGCCTACAAAACCTAATTGCATTTTAGTAAATCAATCATATAAAGCAACAGCACTGATTCATTAGCTAAGCAACTTCAGTTAAAGAAGATCAAACTTATGGTTAGTATCTCTTTAAAGTATGAGTTCCTGAAAATAAAAGTGGCACAGCTATACAAATCCAAGAGTAGAGAAATATTACAATAAAGGCATTTGGGTCTTTTATTTCAAGAAGTACCTTGTTTTTCTTGATCAAAGGTGAATCTATCAGACAGAGTAGTATTGAAAGATGAAACAGTATCAGCCAAGGCTAAAAGGTGCATTTGGTCTAGACTTGAAAGCCCAGGTAGATGTGTGTGTGTTAATAGCTTTGTTAGAAGATGAGCCTAAATGTAAAGACCAAAATCCTTTCTTATTTCAACTCTACAGAATACTTACAATCCATAGATTAACACAAAAAATACAGGATTAATTTTTCTTGTAAACAAACTATGTTGAAATTAGATACAAGTCTCATCTTACTTCCAAAGAAAATTTAGAGTTATGCTTAATAACGGAGGTATTTTATCAACAAATGTTTCTTTTCTTAAAGGAAAACATATCAAGAAAGAATATGCTTCACAAATAAACTACATAACATCAATAATACAGCCTGATTGCAAAATAGCAATAAAATTAATACATGTACACACACACACACACACACACACACAGAGAAAGATATATATATAAAATGAAATTTAAGTGGTTTACTGTAAAAATATTCCATGCTTGCCAAATAAAAGAACAATATTGTTTTTTTGATATCCTTAAAATAACATTCAGAAATGAATCATTTGAAATTTAAAATTCCAGTTGGAAGTTTTAAAATATGGACTTAATGATTAAAGTACAGAAACTTTGGACTTCTAACAAATTGTATTAACCTTTACACAATATTTTTATATGCAAGTTATCAAATTAGTTTCCTAAGTAGAATTCCTTTAAAAATTTAAATTGGCATTTGGTTAGGTCTCTCAGAACCAGATCGATCTTTAATGCACACTTTCTTGCCAATAGCCAAATGGTGTTATTCAACAAGATTTGATTCATCATACTGTGTAAATGAGGTTGCTGTTTCAGTAACGCTTTTATCACAAATACTATCGGAAATATTACTACTTGTGTCACCAACTGAACTGTCTTATTTACTTTTTACAAATTCGTTTCCTCATTTCGATTGCCACTCCAGCTTACCAATTTACTTTTTAACAGTTGAACTTTGTCAATGTTTCAGTAGTTTTTGCTTTATTTTCATAACGTAATTTTATCTTTGGGTATGGGTTTATCTCTGTCAGCAGTCCATCTAAAAAGTGCTTGGAACAAACATACTTTTTTGTGCAATGTTTTTCAGGTAATAACTTTAATCCATTCAAGTTTTGTTCACTCATCTGATAGCACAGAATGAAAATCAAATGGGAGTAAACACACACAGTCTTTATGCAATAGTCCATGTATTTCACACATAGATTCCTTCCATATATTTGAAAAACCATTAACTGCACAAGAACTGCCTCCTCCTTTTCTATATATTTTCAGCACCATCTAAGACAAAAATGTAAACAAAAGATCGATATTGTTCAATCTTGCTATGGTTGATGCACAATGTGATAGATTAATGGCAGCACTCATGAAATTTGGGTAACATGTGAATAAGTATGTCAATAAAAAAGGATTTACTTCAATGTATCTCTTGTTCAATAATAACAGAATTCTTTTAAAAAATAATATAACTTAAGTGTTTATCTAATGAGATTACTCAATTGCACTTTAGTCTAATTTTTTACACTATAAAGCTTGCCTGTCTCTTGTCAAACAACGTCAAAAATTGACACTCTGGTTCATGTGACTTTTGCCTTTCTTTCTTTGTCCCTAGACTAAAACTATTGTTCAGAATGGCATCCAAAGAATCCTCCACTTCTTGACCATCAGGCATAAACAGATCACTGTAATCCTAAAGCACAAAGTAAAAGAATGACATGAATGACTCTGAAAACAGATTTTTTATTTTATAAAGATGAGTTTTTAATAGTAAACATAAACTAAGTTACATTTTCTGAGATAAGCTAAATAACACATATAGAACAAAACAGAAAAATAATAATACAGAATAAAAAAAATCAATCTGATAGATATGTTAAAAAACATTTATCTCAGCTATTTTTATATAACTTAAGTGTAAAGATTACATGCAGTAAGTGATGCAATTATTAATATGAATACTTAGTACTGAAATACACATTGATATACATAAAATTAAAATACTTTCTATGTTCATTTTATTGTTTTAGCAATCATTCATTTTTATATAACTTTTATTTCAAGATCTTGAAACTTGTAAGGTGTGAATGATAATGAAAAGATAATGAAAATATTTTTATTATTAAAATGGCAAAAAATTAACAAAAAATTATTAAAATTCCTCTATCAATACACATACAGCAGATTTGTTTACAATTCTACATGTAAACAAACAATATTCACAACAGCAACTAATATAAATAAAGCATTTAGATAGCTTTAATTTCTCATTTCCTGAGCATCTGTCTTTAATTTTTTTACAATACTGAGTAAAGTTGGGTGAGTATAAGCAGCCTGATTAACTGATATAAATGATTACACTGATTAGTGTCACTTATGATTTTGTACATATCCAACTAAATTATAAACATATACTACAGATATCACCAAGTCAGCATACAAGTTTATAATTTCTAATCTTCTTGCTTTACTGAGATATAAATAAAAATGGCATGACTGCTCCTCCTGCATCATTTTGTCCTTCAAAAAATGTCAATATTTATATTATTTTATTTCTCTCTGATATTACTACTGGATTATTCATAACCAATAGAAAGAGCACTTCTTTCTTTACAAAGTTCTCCATATTGATTATTTTATTTTAGCACTCACTTAGCCTCAGTTTTATTGTTTGCAAACATGGTATCCAACTCAAGCAGCTAACAGAATTTTTTAAAGTTATTTATAGCTTAGTTAGAAAACCAGTTAAATGTCTTAGGAGATTCTGTTTCAGTGCATGATAATGTTTTTGTTATAAAATGCATAAATGAAATAAAAAGGAATAATTTTATGGATAACCAACATCATCACACAAAGGTAGGTTTAGGGTGCCTCTCCAATGGATGGCAAAAGGCCAGAATCCAGATGTAAGCACTAAACTTTTTGTTCATGTATATTTTTTTATTTTTTGTTATAAAAGTAACAAATATAAAAATTAAAAACTGATTAAGTTAGATAGAAAAATTTAAATAAAAAAAATACAATTTCTTATGATACTCAGCATCCTAGCACGTGCATATCATGTGGTGTGTTTAAAACCAAACAATTTGTTTACACAAAGCTGACCCTCTTTGATAAATGGTTTTAGCATGCTCTGAAATGGTCTAAATACAACTGTGAAGTTTTGAAACTACATGAAGCAGATGTGAAAAAGCTATTAGCTTAAGAGGTTAGAAGAGATAAATGTAATTGTCTGTTACAATATGTATTCATTCTAGAAAGACAAAAATGTAGTTTAGATATATTTTGTATTTTCCAACTTTTCATTTTAACCTATATTGCTGATTTTGTCAAAGTTCATATTAGGGTATAAACAGTAGCAGACAAAAACTGAAAAAATTTCTGATGTTCATTTAGGAAGTTATGCAAATTAAATATTAAACTACAAGATGAAAAGAAGTAATGATGGTCTTAATTTGAAAATCACATTTCACTCAGACTGGCTTGATAAAGACTTGGCACATTTAAAGACAAATTTTTAGCAGAAATACTTTATAAAAGAAAAAAAATTTTTTGTGTACAACAGACTAATGTTTACTAAAAACTTTCATGAAAATAAACTTTATACATTCAGAGTTAAAAAATATATAGTTTCACAATTATATGGTGGTTATAAGATTTGTCAAAATAATTAAGCTTGCATACCTAGATGAATTTATTAATGTGACAAAAATTATCAAATAAAAGTTGCTCATTATTACTGTTTACAATTGTTCCAAATATCCAGTAATCAAAATTATAATTTAATTCATTAATGTCATGAAAATAAAACTAATTGAAATGAGCATGTACAATGATTACTGTTTTTGAATATCTCTTTCCACACAAAGTGGGTCAGTTTGACACACTTTAAAAGTGTGAAACTTTACATACTATATAATATAACTCTGAATTTACTAAGCATTCCTTCATGAAATTTGGCAAGATTTTAGTAAGCATTATAAGACTAACATTCACACAAAATTAAAAAAAAGACTTTTATAAAGTATTTCTACTAAAAACTTTTGTCTGTGAATTTACAAAGCCTTTACTCGGGCAGTCCGATTGAAAACTGATTTTCATGCTAAGAGTAAATTACTTCTTTTCACCTTACAGTTTTCATTTGCATAACCTCTAAACCTCTTAAATGAATATCAAAAGTTTTCTGTAAATTTTTACAAACTTTATTTTCTCTAGTCTAACTGTAGCAAAATCATCAAAATATAGTGAAAAGTTGAAAAACATGAAATAAAATTAATACCTTTCCCTTCTTTGAATGCATCATTTATCACCAGATCTTCTATTTGATTGTCTTCCCCATTATAACTGTTAACCTTTTCACATCTCTCTTCATTTAATTTTATTGTTTTATCACCAGTCTCTGTACCCAGTACATGCATGAAAAGCAATAGATCACAGCAGAATGTTTGAGGTAGGACATTTATATGACTCAACATAGCAAGTGTCAAATTTCACGTGCACAGACAATCACACAATGTGCTAGTGTAATTTTACACATTTGATTTTAATTGGATAAACTAAAATGTTTATAATTTTTACATTCAACTTACTTTTCATAAAAAATATGTAGCAATCAATGAAAAAATATATATAAATAACAAGAAAATCACATCTGTGTTAAGAACAATTTTTTTTTTATTACGTTGGTTACCCAAAAAATCATTCATGTAGCTTTAAAATATATCAGGCTCTAGAACAGAATGTTCCAAAACTACAATTATCTATGTATCCTTCTAAGTAAACTACAATTAGGTTTGAAAAAAACGTTTGTAAGTGCTCAAAATATAGAACTACATCAAAAACCACAGACCTCCACTAACTAATGGTTAATAGTTTTTTTAAGATTCATGTAGTGGAGAAAATGTTCTTTCTATTGGTTATAAACATGTACATTAATCTAGAAAAGACTATTATCAAAGAGTATAAGAATACAGACAAGGAAGGGAGGGGATATACTAATAGGTTTGACAAATCTATTAATATTTCAGTAAATCAAGAAGGTTCAAAATTTAGATTTGTGTTTGTGATTCTAATTGACTAAACTACTGGCTTATTAGTGAAGATACAAGTTCTGAAAAAGAAATGAAGATTGCATAATTTTCTACGTTTCCTTTCGAAAGTAAAATTAGATAATAAAGTTGAACTATAAACTATATTTTGCTGACAAGTTTATTGACATCATTAATAATAAAGTTGATTAATTATATCTTGAAAGTAACTGATGGTTACAGCATGCACACATTCAAACTAGCATATGGAAAGTTATTCCAACTATCCAACAATTGATATTATGACTAAATTGATTAATGTCACTAAAATAATCAACTAATTGAAATTATTGTTTCCAATTATTCCAACTATCCAGTAACTGATATACTGCCATTGTGATTTTTCCTTATTATTTTCAATTAATTCAAATTTATTCAGCTTAATCAATTAGTATCACAACTCACAAAAATAATCAACTAATTGAATTTAGTTTCCGATTATCATTATTTGATTATTCCAACTGTCTAAGTAATTCAAATATTGCCATTACATTTGTTTATTGTTATGCACAATGCTACACAGTGGGCTGCCTGTGCTCTGCCCATCAGATATAAAAACTCAATTTTTAGCATTATAATTTTTCAGCCATCTCATGTAAGAATAATTGATTAGTTGAATAACTGATTAATGAGCCAGATGATTAGCAAATTTCACTAATCACTCAACTTTAATCCTAAATTTCTTACAGAGCCTGTGAATGATTTTTGATTTCTGCTTCCAGGAAAATAAACAAATAAAAAGTGATATTGAGATGTTATTATGCCATTTTTTGTAATTTTAATGATCATTAAAAAAATTATAAAATCAAGTAAACTGGTGAAGCTGATTAGATCTGTTACTGGGGATTGGCTTTACTTTTTCTGGCCCCTCTACCAACTAAACGCTATTGCTGTAACAAAGATTTGTAAACTTCAGCTAGTTATTTTAAAATGAAACATCATTTATGCAATGAAAGTTCACTGCATAATAAAAGCATACATTTTTTGCTAAAAATTCATGCCTTCTTTGGGGACTCATTCATCCACTCTAATTGGTATTAAAAGCCTTTGTTCAAACTCCATTTGTCCAACTTAAAACTGAAATTCAATTTTTCCGATTAACATGAAATGTTTGAAAAAATTCATAAGAGAAGTTCAAGTCATGGCCTATTTTATCAGTATTCTGAGTTTGAAAGCTGAATTCCAACATTTAGATGCTAATTTTCTGTATAAAAATAAACTGTTTGCAGGTTTGAAATAAGAAATTATTTCAGTTTATTTTTTTACATTTTCCTGTAATATAACCAGAATTGTGGGTGGGCCTTAAAATATTTTTATTGTGCTTGACTGAAACTGATTTGCAAAGTTCTATATTACTCTAGTAACATATGATGAATTTATGTTTCTAAGTTCACTTTTCCTCAAGTTTATTTTTCAGGCTAAACTTCAAACAAGGAGAATGAACCTAATTTACAATAATGTTCTCAAGTCATAATAATGAAGTTAACATATAATTAGCAAGTAATTCACTTGTTCCACTAATTTACTGTGTTGTTTTTTATAAAACGATTTAACTTTTACAACATGCTTTAGTAACTCATACTTCATGATCAAAATATGATTTTTACAATCATTCAGTATTTAAACCAATGAACTTTTTGAAGATAAGTTATTTTGAATTGAAGACAAACATTAAATACAAATGACCAAATGTCACTGTTATAAAACAATGTCCATCACTTCTTAGTCCAGTTTTCTGTAAATCAGGCAAATCAGGAATCCAAAATGTAAATAACTGATCTTTATGGCTTATGTTCATGAATGAACATTTAGTAGTGATGGCTTTAGATGTTTTAGAGTTTATACCATTTTGTTTCGATATAGAGCACAGTTACCACCAACAGCAAGGGTAGACTGACACCAATGTTGCTTGTTGATAAAGTCCTAAAGTATCTTTCACTACTATTCTGAGGTCCAGACTACTTCCCATTAAACCAATCCTTTCTTTTTCAAGGATTATGTAAATGAGCTTAACATAGAGAGTGTTACCATCTGTTACTCTACAGTCGGGGATAATTGCACAGCATATCTCAGCAGCAAGGGTCATATGATGTTTTTCATATAATGCATGGCATCAATCCACAGGATACAGAGATTGGTACGTCCACCAATGCTTATCCTTCCCTATCTACACTTCCACACCACCATATAAATCACATTCTTGTATGAAAATGATGTTGGGCCTTCCTCCATATTCTTTTCAAATGAGTATATGACTTACCTGGTTCAGGATGAAGCTTGACTCATCTGTATAGAAAATACTGCTCTACAACATGCTGGTTCATTTGACATGTTCTAGGAACCACTAAAGGAGAGCTCAAGATATATGGCATAAATACTAGCCTTGTTACGTCCATTTTCAATTGTTTGTATTTTGATATTGCATTTTGTTGTAATTGCATACATTTGATTTAGTCTTCGAGCACCAGTCAATAGAATTGTAAATGAGCTCAGATTAACAAATAAGAGGTCAACTGTGTGTGTTGTGGATGATGGTATACGTTATTCAGGTGACTCAGCAACTGTGCTACCAGTTTGAATGTGTTTCGACATTTTTGATAACAGCATTCTGAGACAACTGTAGCCAGTACAAAGCCTGCTGTGACTGGCTAATTTCTATTCATTTAATAGCTTCCCACCTGACTGACACATCCAAATGTCACATCTACGCCATATATCAATTGAAGTGGGGAAGCTGGGTAGAAAATGTGAGAGGAGGTAAGTACCTATCAGAAATACATTTTCAGTGTAGGAAAATGCTAGTTTCTGATATATCTTACCTCCATTCACAAAATAGCTAGAATCCCACATTCAACTGGTGGAAAGCCAACAAAAAATATGATCCCCCCCCCCTTTAGAAAGTGCCCAAAGAGAGACCAGGAGGTGTGGAATCAAAAAAGAAAACAACACACCTGAGTGGGAGACCGCAACATATCCAATTCAGGTATACTTTTTGCTCTTTTATGATAGTCATAAACATAAAAGGTGGAAACATGAAGGAATCCCAGAATATGTATGACCGATGAATGGGACTACTGGGTGTCAAGTGGCTAGGGTACAAAAAACCGTAGTGGTAGTTCAACCTCAACCAACACCAGGCAGTATCTGGAATGGTACATCAGGTCCACAGTAGGTAGAGGAACACCTACATCTTCACTTCAAAACTGGAATTGGTAGGGAAGACGAGCTTGCGCACCAAAATCCATCACCACTTGTGCACATTTCCAACCAAACCAACACCAGATCTGCCAAGAATCGACATCCAGCAGACAGTAGGAATCTGGAAAGCCCTGGTGGAATGACATCTCCAGTCCAAAACCTGAAGGCAACAGGTATACTACTTTCAGTCTGCAGTAGGAGGAAGATATCTGGCCATACACAAGTGGGAAAACATGTGCTGCATCCAGCTACATCCAACACCAGATCTGCCAGGAACCAACAACCAGCCCACAATAGTAAGAGGGACCACAAAGCTAGAGTGCATTTCCAATCAAAAACCTGGCAGTAGTGGGCATGTGTCAACTGGACAGCACATGTGAGGACTTACTGAGCCTGACCAACACCAAACCCACTGGGAATGTACATGGTAAGAAGAAGGAATGTCTCAGCTTGAGGGGGCAAACTGCAATGATGTATTTATTTATGACATGGTGGAGTGCTTCAACCAAACCATGGCAGCATCTGGAATTGATCATCAGTTCTATGGTAGGAAGGGTGTCACGCCATAGATACCTGCAAAATGCCACCACCCTACTCTCAAATAGTAAGTGGTAGGGACTCTCATACTCCACAAGAAGAAAGTGGGGAAAAAACATGTTGGAGAGTTGGGAGGACTGCACCACTGGAGACAGTACAATGAGTGACAGTGAAATCCAATTTTAAAAAGCAAAGCTACTACGTCGACGAAGTCGATCTACCAAAACCAGGCAGCATCTGGAATTGTACATCAGCTCTGTGGTAGGAAGAGACTCAACATCATGGAACTGCAGAGCTGGGATGCAATCTTTGTCTGCTTTACTCATGTTAGTCTATATCTGTACAGTCTGGGACAAACATATTTATGATGCAAAATACCCCTAGAGAAAATTACTAGCAGTCTTATGAAACACCCCATCTCTACAGTGTGCATAACCCAAACCTGTGAAGAAATTATTTAACTATAGAAAACAAAAAAAATGGAAACACACAATCAATGCCTGGCAGCATCTGGGATTATACATCAGTTCTACAGTAGGAAGGGCTACAACATAATTGACAACTAGCATGGTCATAGAATGGACAGTGCGGATTTTCAAAAAAAAGTATACCTGGTCAGGCACTGAAGAGGGCACTGGTTACAATGGGATTGGTGTTGTGCTCCTATTGGTGGAGAGCTGCTGCATGATCATATGCATGTGAATATGCAGAAGTGGGAGGCAGAAGCCTAATGGCATCCGTTGAAAAATGTGTGCCAATAGAGGGCAGTGCTAGTCGAGAAAAGCTATTTTGTGAGTGGATGTAAGATATCATACCAGAAATGTTGTTCATTTAACATATCATGAGGAACCAGTTTAAATTATTCTAAACTCTTTCACTCCCATGTTTATAAAAAGACAACTCCTTCAATCCCAGGTTTATTCATATATATATATATATATACTAACAAAAAATGAATGTTTTAATATTTCATTATATTACTAATCTGAAACTTTAAACTTGTAAACTTTGGAAAGTTAAGGAAACTACCCCTTTCTTGATATTGGTACAAAATTCCAAACTTCCATTGTACTACTTTAGAGGGGGAGAGGTGTGCTAATAGCAGTAAAAGATTCAAAGTACTGTAATTTCTTTTATAGTACTGTTTGTTTGTAAAGTAAATACTCAACATCACTTTTAAAGAGTTTCGTTTTTCTACTTCAACCCCTTCTATAAATAAAAGTGCCAGTTACACATACTCTCTCCATTCTTGCACACAGATCTTTCTGAAACACAAGAGTTTTGCCACAATTTTTCGTACGGAGTATCTTTGATCACCAAGACTTATTTCTACAAGCTTGTCATGTGGTATTTCATTCTTATGAGCCATGACTAGATTTACACTACTATTGCTGGGCATATTGTGACTATCTATACTTTCATAGGATTTGCATTGGAGTGTCACTTTCAATACTGATTAATTGAATAACAACCAAACAAAGTGTAAAATAACAATACATCAGTGTACTTTGGTGCAGTCACATTTTCATATGATAAAGGGGTAGCATTCCCATAATATGTACCTTTTATACCCCTTTTCCTCACTATTTCCATAATCATTTCCAATACTAACATACACAAATATGTACACATACACACACACACAATGCTAACTACAGTCATCGACAAATCCAAATTGCTTGTGAAATACCTTTACATTTAACATACACAAATATGTATACACACACACACACACACACACACATATACATACAATGCTAACTACAGTCATCAACCAATGACAATATCAAATTGCTTGTCAAATACCTTTACATTTAACATACACAAATATGTATACACACACACACATACATACATACATACAATGCTAACTACAGTCATCAACCAATGACAATATCAAATTGCTTTTCAAATACCTTTACATTTCCATCATTTGTGTGAGTGGGGGTTGATCTAGTGATTATTTCTCTATCTGCAGCCAAAAGAATAGACAATGGCAGAGGAGGGATGGAAGTAATTTCAACATAATCTAGTTGGACTTCTTCTGGATACGTTGATACAGAACCCTGAGGATCCATTGGACTCCACTGGTTGGGAGAAGTGGGAGCCATTGACAGCGCTCGGGATTTGGTCCAAGAGCGAGGACTACTCCTTAGATCTGTGTCATTGTTTTCAAAATGATCAGGTACCTGTAAGTAATCTTTCTGTTGCTGGTGGATGGATAGAAATAAAAAGTTAATAAATCAGTAAATGCTCTACAACATCAAAAAATAAAATTTTCAAGTAATATTAAGTATAATAACTAGAAAAATAAAAATAAAAGTAACCTATAGCTTGAAAATATTTTATAATATCACTTCAAATGCTTGGTCAGTGAAATATTTACAACAAAAATATAATCTCCTAATATTCCAAGTACAAAATTTAAGTGATTAATGAAACTGCACTTAAAACATCAAACAAAATACACTAACATTTTTAATACCTAATATCTCACCTTCATCTGGCCAGTACCAGACAGACACCGTACTAGATGACTCAAAATGGCTTTGACTCGGTGAATCTTTCCTGAACTCAAAAGTTCCATTAGCTGCTTTGGGTGGTACTGAGGCAAAATAGGACAGGCTAATTGGCTAGCCTCAAAGAGACCAAAGTCTGGTAAAGGGCTGTCATTGATAGTACTGTCACTAAACAAAAATACACACAGAATAATTCCTTTCTCCTCGTGAATCACGTAAATATATAAAAACAGTTTAGTAGTGATAAGGACTACTCAGAATATGAAAGCAATGTCAACTGAGATATTCCATTAATATTTGTTTTGGATAAAGAAAAAAAAATTCAAATTGCTAACCCTAATTTCAATTTTATCTCCCAATGGTAATTTTTATTAGGGAAATAGAAATATACAACCTTTCATTCTGCATACATAAATAATGTCAAAATATGAAGTGTAGCTGCAAAATTGTGGTCTTTGTAAACGTTTATTTCTAGCTCCTGTAATTTATAAAAATGTGAATTTTAAAAGATGGTGGTGTCAAGAAATGAAAAATTCACCTATAAACTACACTTTTTATTATACAACCTCCAAATTCTGAAAGATAAACTCATTAATATATCATCTACAAGCTAAGACTACTTTCTTTCTCACAATCTATCTTCTGTAGAGCCCCCTTCTTTTTTTTAAGTATATTTGAATTTCCAAACTTAGCTGTATCAGACAGATTTCTTGACCACATGCTTTCAAATGATCCAACTATGGTTTGTTTATTTTGTTGAAGTATATTACTTTGGCAGTTGCTTTTCACTTTACAAAAACTCCTATTGGTAATTTGAAAATAAAAGAGAGGAGGGAGTCTTTTTGTTTAATATGTACATCAAGAGTAAAGAGAGAGAACTTCTAATAAAAAAAAAAGATAACATACAGCTTTCATTGATACATGATATGTTATTGTAAAATTTGTTTCAAGAAAATATACTATTTCATGGCATCGTTAGGCTGTTGATTATATCTGTTGCCCAAGATACATCTCTGTAAAGAAACACACAAAAAAACAATATGGATGTGCCATATAATAAAATAAAAATTAGCCTAAACATTGAATACAAACTACTCTTTAGGAGGCAATTACTTAATTTGTGAAATGAATAAGATATGAACAAAAAAGAAATACTGAAGAATCTTGTACCACACCATCTATGTAGTCTGTAAATCATGCGTTTGAAACTTGGCTCAATGGTTATGGGTATACTGTACAATGATGTACAATATAGATATCTGGCACAGATTATAGCTTGTAAATTTACCAAAAGAGAAAAAATAATCTAATTTATGTTCAAAAACAGTTCAGTGGTTATCATACTTTATGTTTGAAGTGCCTGAGTTTCAGTTATGGTGCTATTAGCAAGTTGAGTTTTATGAATACAAATTCAAAAATAGCAATATGTGGCCACCAGGTTAGAAAGGATTAAATTTTGCCACCCCTATTTACCATCTGCAAACCCTATTCACCATAAATGAAAGCAATGGTGAAACTTAAGTCAAAGCTTGTTGATATGCAACTCCACAAGATCATGCACTACTCAGAGGAAATGTTGACTACCACAGGGTGTGCTGGTATATAACTTCAATTGACCATGCACTACCCAGAGCAAATGTTGACTATCACAGGGTATGTTCGCATATAACTTCACAATACATGCACTGCACAGATCAAATGTCGACAGTCACAGGGCATGCTGATATACAACTATACTTGACCATGCACTAAACACAGAAAATGTTGACAGTCATAGGGTATACTGGTATAAAACTTAACCAGACCATGCACTACACAGAAGAATTTTGATGGTCACAGGGCATGTTGGTATATAACTTAACCAGACCATGCACTACACAGAAGAATTTTGATGGTCACAGGGCATGTTGGTATATAACTTGACTTGACCATGCACTATACAGAAAAAATGATGACAGTCACCAGAGCTGACTGCGTGTGGGCCACAGGGCTCTAGCCCCAATCAGGCAAAGGGCCGTACACCCAAAAATCTATTGAAAAATATGTCCATCAATACATTCACTGTAAATACACAGTAAACTTGGTGGCACAGGATGTCGCACAAAACATAGTTGCATATCATAACTTGCTTACTCTCATTTGTGAGCTTACTTCTTTTGTCAAAATTTCACCAAACGGTTGGTTTTGTTTGAAAAATTTCAGCGAGTTGACAAGGAGACATTACAGCTGTTTTGTCCTACATGTTGGACACTCAGAGCAGCATCATTGCAGCCTGTTACTTACAACTACAGAAAGCTGTTAGATTTTTTGAACAACTGCTACATGATAAAAATGATGTTGGGGGAAAATCAAATGGTTTCCTTTTATATTTGCAAAGGTTTTGATACTTATTTCACATTAAAGCTGCTGACACTGTTTTTTTCTCATGTAGAAACAGTAAATGCCGCATTACAGAGGCACAAACTGTACCTCCAACAAGTAGAACTGATGACTGAAATACTGAAAGAAAACATAAGCTAGCTTTATGAAGGATTCACAGAATTTTGGAAAGGTACAACTGACACTGCAGAACCCCTGGATTTGGGAAAGCCCAGAGAGGTTCAATGTTGCTTTGATATTGGAGCATCACCCCGTTTCAGACTCCAGAAGAACTATACAGAGATATTAAGAAGTAATGGATTGTGTGTCTACTTCTCTGTGCAATCAATCTAGTTTTTCATTGTTTACATACAAAAGAATTTGAGAAATTTGTAATTGGAAAAGGTAAATGTGAGAATATTTTGAACTTCTACATAAATGACATTGACAAAGGGAGACTGCAGTTACATCACAATATGTTCATCAATATTGCAAAACAGTGGAGTATTCACCAGTCCTCCTTACAGGATGCTGTGAAAATCTTCATTGGCAAGAAGGGAGACCACATGAGACAAATGCTACCAGAGCTAAAAAAACTGACCAAATTAGCACTCACTGAACCTGTCTCCTCATGCACATCAGAAAGGTACTTTTCAAGCTTTCACAGGATAAGGACATATTTGCAATCAACAACTGTCAATCAGCTTCATGGCACAACATCTTCCACATAAAAGATTAAGACCATTTCAATCAGTACTAAAGATTTTAAATGTAAACATTTTGAATTTTTGGTTTGGATAAAACAAATGCAAGAGAGTTTGAATTTTGCTACATGCAGTAACAAAGGAATGGTGCATTTCCATTTGGGTTTTGCTTTTCTATATGTATTTTTCCTTTTGTTCTTCTGGATAATATACATTATGAAAGGTTGCTGAAGTTATATACTGTAATTGTCCAAAATGTAAAGAGCTGTTGTTGTCATTAATTGTAACAGTGAATCAGATATAACCTAAATCCTAGACATGAATGTTATTCTATTTTGTTTTCTTCCTTCATGGGGTGTAAGTGAGTTGATAAAATAATGCTTTTATTGTTGTTGTTTTTTTTAACTTGTCAATTTTAAATTTTGTGTTGCTGTATATCATTTTATTTTTGTTGTAATTTGCCTTAATTGTATTATCCAGTTTAAACTAGACTGAGGATACCATTAAATAATCATATCAATAAAATGTGTTAAATTTGTTTAATGAAATAAAGAATTTCTACATCCTCAGACCCCTCCCCATCAGCAAAAGTAGAAGTTGGAGCCAGTATTGACAGCCACAGGGCATACTGGTATATAACTTATTTAACAAAACCATGCACTACACAGAGGAAATGCTGACAGTCAGAGAGCATGCTGGTATACAACTTTACTTGACCATGCACTACACAGAGGAAATGCTGACAGTCAGAGAGCATGCTGGTATACAACTTTACTTGACCATGCACTACACAGAGGAAATGTTGACAGTCACAGGTCATGATGGTACATAACTTCACAGAACCATGCACTACATGGAGGAAACGTAGATTGTTCCAGCATAACTTTACACATTCAACATTCAGAATACAATACAGAATGAGTTAGAAGAGAAACTAAACTACCTTCCATGTCATGACAAAATTAGTAATATGCATTTCAATACAGACAACATATAAACTTTTAACTCTTAAGGTTAGACAAACAGGTACAAGCAATAAACTAAACTAATGCATTACATCTTATATCATTAAAAGTTCTTTCCTAAATTAAAGGTGAAAAAGAAAAAAAGAAGAATGAAAAAAATCTAACTACCTTTCAGGGATAGTTTTGATTTGTGCTTGTCGTTTCTTCTTGGAATCTATTCCACCTGTTAAGATATTTGAGGAAATGCTCCTTGGTATACGAGATGAAGAAGAGGAGGAGAAAGAAATCTGGGAGTTCTTACGTGCACGACTCAGTAACTTCTCCTCAACAAGATTACGGCTACCCACCACTATTTCTGTATCCTTGTATATGTCTTTATCCTGTTTTATGTCATCCAAACCTGTTAGCAGTAACAAGCACAAAAGCTTAAAACATTGAAGTAACAAAGAGAGATGCAAAATTCCTCTTAGAAGTAGAAATATGCCCATAAATATAACTTCATCAAGAAACTCAAAAATCATACATAAGTAGAAAAATTAATTGAAATATTTAAAAAATAAACCTTATATTTAAAATTTGCATTTATAAACATAAATCTATGATGAATGATTGATAGCATGCATTCAAAATAAGTGACAGAAAACAGTTAATAAAAGCTTTCCAAATTTTGCAAAAATACAATTACTACACAAGTTATAATATGTACAACTTCAACGTTACATGGTGGTTGCAAGGTTTGTTGAAATGGTCAAGTCTGTATAGAAAGGTTTAAAGCATATATTCAAAGTACTAAAAAAACTAGAATAACTACATTTTTCCACTATTTAAAAAAAAATATACCCTTTTACAAGCATTTACACATGGAGATAGATGTCGTAAAATATATGGAAAAAAAACTTACTGTTCTTGCATTGATGCCACTGTGTATAGATGTGCATCTCACTGTCCATCCCAACTACAAGAATTCCATCACGCACCCAAGACAGTTGCATAGGTAGAGGAGGAAGACCATCTGTTGTGGTTAGCTGGGTGGTCCTCAACCTCATCCATCGAATTTCCTCATTATGGTGAAAAGCCATAGATATTGATGATGTCTGTTTTAGTAGGGTTGGTCTGGCTCCAGCTTTATGTGTGTTCATGGCCTGAGCAGTAGCTTCAGAAATCTCAGTAGATACAGGAGTAAACACCAAAATCTGGTATAGAATAAAAGTATAGCATGTAATCTCACAATATTATTACTATTTCACAGTTCTAAACAAAAATTCCAATTTCTTCAAATAATCATCATCTCTGTAAAAAAACTATAGTTAAATTTAGATGCAAAACAATGAAATATCGTTTTTCAAATCTTGAATAAAAAGTATGAACATTCAGAATTCTACAACTTTAAAATTATTTTCATTTGATTTTCCAGAACTTCCATAATATCCTAGATTTATCCACTACTAGAAAAATTACTTTTACTGTCATATTGCAATAATTATATATATATCGTATTTCCTGGCTTAAACAAAAAAGCAAACAACACGAATATCTCCAGTTTATGTTTTATTATGTGTTAAATTTGTGATATATTATTGTTTATACTATTTCTTAAAGTCAACCATTTCACACTAAATTTTACATTCATGTTTTACAAAGAATTTAAAATTTACAAATCTAACAATTATTTAAAAACTATTGCAAATACAAAGTGTCCATTGTACAAATCAGTAAAATGTTTACATTTGCCATAATAACACAACACAGACTGTTAGAAAACATAAGTTGTTTTGTATACAAGGTTCACAAGATAATGTTCTAGTATAGAAATAATAAAATCTTACTTTTGAGCCTACTCCTACAGTGAGAAGATGAGAACCATCTTCAGTGGAAACCCAGTCAAGTTGAACAAGGGACTTCTGAGTAAGAAGCGACTGGTTTCCTTGCTCTGTTATTGTGTGACGAAGTGTATGAAGCGTGGCAAAGCTAGGAACAGATAACAGCCTATGTAGGTTGGGTGCATGTTCAAAAGGTGCATCATCATTCCCAAGCCTTTGTACAATTGTTTCAACTGTTCGACGATTCCGTACACTTGCACTGTATAGGGACCCAAAATCCAGATCTAAACTGCTTTCTGGCTGAGGTAACCCAATGTTTTTCAGATGAATTGTGTCTTCCAGTACCCATTCAGAGCCTCCAGTTGATTCGCATTCAAATATGGCAACACTTGCATTTACATACCTTCCATGAGGATTTTCTGATGAAGGTCTCATGAAAGATCTTCCATGTTTGTATGCACAAGCTATACGACCACTGTAGGCACAGCTCACTATCAATGGAATTCCTGCATAACAATAAAACCAACAAAACAGTTAACAAAACAAGCACAGTGCCAATGGAAAATCTTCCCTCATCTCTTTGTGAATGAGAAGAGTTACAATTTGTAAAGTTGGCTAAGTGTATGATACAAACATAGATTCATTTGTAACTTACACCAATTCATTTGCATTGTCTGAATTACTGTTATATGAGCAAAAACTATTAAAAGGCTATTCATTAGCTTTGAAACTGTAGGTATTGATAAAAACTATGAATATGTTTAACACATTATTTCAGTGATACAGAGACAGTAATTTTCTGATAAGCATGTAAATGACAAAACATTACTATACGAATTTTATATGATAAACAGATGCATGATGAAGACAGAGTTGTGGTATATCACAAGACTACATCTGTATTGTCAGGCAACAATTACACCACAAAATGTGTAATAGTGTCATTAAACTTGTCTAGTTACAAAATATGCTACTTGTTTATGAAACAAAACAGGGCTATGCATGTACTGATAATAAAAAAACAAAATTATAATATAAGTAGGATAATCAATCAGTATGATCCAACAGGAAATATATTTACTTAAATGTTCAAACTGAAAAATGATTGCTTGCAAATTAAATTACACAGATGTAGTTTTACTTTTAGAATTTTTGAACCAAGGAAATGCCACTGATACTTCCTGAAATTTTCCTTCTCACTCTGGAAAACATTTAATCAAATTATAATGAAACTGGCTTAAAAAATTAATAATAGTTAAATTTAATATTTCATTTTCTTAGGTTACAAAATGTTCAAGTTTGTTGAGGTACTGTTTTAAAAAACCATTAACTCTCACACAACAAAGTCGGTTGAATCAACCAGCCTTGTAACCATTTTTGTACTCGTTAAGTTTCAATGCTATAACTTTGAGTACACTTTGTATATGTTCATAAAATATGGTAGACTTTTACCAAACATCACAAATCTTTTGTACAAAAAAAATCAGATTTTTTTAATGAAGTATTTTTACTAAAGATTTGTCTGTGAATACATATACTATTTCTGTATATTAGTCCGAATGCTAAGTGATTTCAACGTTAAGATTTCAAATACTTTTCTTCATCTCAAAAATCTAAAATCTTCTAAATAAATTTCAAGAGTTTTTTTTTACAATAAAACTTTATATTTTATCTGTTATTTTCTCTACCCTGACTATATAGAAGGTTGGTCAATTTGACTAACCATATAACTACCAAAAACAAATCAAAATTAAATCTAAATTACCCTATTTTTCTTTCTAGAATGGCTTCAGATTGTAACATGAAACTACATTTGTTTGTCCCAAATAGCTTTAAACTCTTAACAGTAAACATCAATTTATAATTAAATTTTATTGTTTTATTGCCCTTTGAACCCTGTCTCACTAATATTTGCACCATTAGAAGTTGTAAATTACTTGTCAAATGTGCAGCTCACACTATCGAATTACATTACACACGAGCTACTCACAAGTGTACCTTGTGAAAAAATATTTTATTATTATAAATTTGACCTAATCTAACCCTAACTAACATGTTTCCTATTTGTACATCTTAGTTACTTTTATAATAATAAAGAAAGAATACACATGAGAAACAAGAAAAGGACTTTACTAAGTATTTTTTGCTGTCAACTGTCAATGACCCATAATCCTACTTTTTTTTTTTTAATATACTAATGGTACTACTGCACTAAATAATTTTTTTATTTAACTGAATAATGCTCCAAAAAAAAGAGAATAATAATGTGGAAAAAGCAGACAATGTCCCATAAATATCACAAATTTTCTGGCTTTCTAACTATGCAAAAAGATCTGTTAAAAATTCTGCTAAGCTGATCAATGAATTTCCCATGGGAAATCAAGCTTGAACTGAAACTGACAATTCTCTTTACAGAAAACAACGAAATATAATACATCATTTTATAGATAACCTTGGCTTTCTATTGGTAATAAATACTATGGCATTGAACATCAGAGAGACTATTGGCAATTTCTCAAAGAGGGGAGGTAACAGGTGGGAGTGACAAGACTGGTCTGGTTGTCTGTTTCATAGCTCTGTAACCAAATAAGACTGAAGGCCACAAAAATTATGCTTAGTCTGAGCAATGATGATATTATAATAAGTAATTTACATAGGTCTCTATTTTGTTTACAAATATCAGATGTGAACTGTGGTTCCAGTTACAATTCCCACTGCCATTGCAAGTTTGTTTGAAGGCAAAATGTAAATTTGCATATAGTAAATACCTATAAAGAAAACATAGTTCACTTTTCCTTTACTAAAATCCGAAAGGAATTTAATAATGAACTAAAACTAAAGACAGAATATCACTGTTATTTTTAATCTTGTTTAGTACTAATGACAGCTAGTGTACCTGGAACATGTATGGCACTTGATGTGCTCTTCAACATCATTTCCCATTCTAACCATGTGTACTTGAATGGCTCTTGTAAATCTTCTGTCTCCCTAGCTTCACATCTCCAAAATCTATACTCAGAAATATCAAATAACATTTAATATTGAAAGAATTGTCTAAAGCCATACATAGACACAAAAGATAGAAATTTCAGTTGGGAACTACATTTTGCCTTTTTCTTAAAAAAAAAAAAAATACTCACAATGGCTTAAAATATGAAAAATATTCAGTTTTTACACCATATTATTTATTTTATGTGCATAAGTTACTTTGACCAATGTTGTTACAAAATTAACAAAAGAAACAATCATTTGTATTACAATTAAATGGAAAACACCCAATTGTTTAGAAAATTAATTTATTAGCAGTATTACTTTTAGCTTAACAAATAAATCTTTATGATTAAGGTTTAGCTAAAGACCAAAACAATATCAATTCACACCACAAGAAGTGTAGCAGCAGGAGTATTGTGCCCAATGCCCAACTAGAGTTACTCATCATAAACATGATTGTTTCCTCAAATTATAATTCATATGTGGCCATAACCATACTGTTCTTTTCCACTCACTGACCTAATCAAGTATGTAAATAAATCAACCAATTGTAGCATAATAAATATAAAAGAATAATGAAACATTGATTTGTTCTTGATTATCCAATAGAAGTAAAGAGCCTTTTTATACAATAGGACAAAGTATATGATAACTTTTGTGACTATTAATAAATAAAATAAACTTATATAAAATGTGTTGTAGGTACATTTTATATGTTGACGTTCTTTTCTATTTTAGTTACTCAGACTTTTTTTTTCCCCCCGTTTGGTTTTTTATGTATACAATATTAAATGTTATGAAGGTTAATAAATTATTCTTGTTGTTATACTTTTCAAAATTCATGTTATTAGATAACCACACCTCTTCAGAACCACTTCAAACTAATATTAGGCAGTGTTTCAACAGACTACATTAGCTTGTCTGTGGATAAAACATTTGTTGTTATAGCTCTCAACCACAAACGTTTCCTATGAATTAACTAAATATTTGTAAGTTTTTTGTTAACCAGTATGTTGGAAACATCACAGATATTATGTAATAGCAAGTTTGTTTGCCCTTAAATGTTTATACAATGGTGTTTGGTTACTATACAAATATTTTTTACAGCCTCCCAAAAACTTACAATGAAAGCAACATGGTAAAAAATTACATTACTGTGTTAAACATCTTCACGGACAACACAGTATATAATAACACACAATCTACTCTAAAAAATACATTCATTAGATTCATATCATATTATTACAAGTAATTGTACGGATATTTATTAAATGTGAGATATTATAAGCAGTTTGTAGATTGAACAGTAGAGGTCAAAGTTCACATGGTAGGATCCACACATTGTACATGCAAACTACTCTGTTCATAGAGAAGTTATTACAAGTATATGGTGTGAAGATAGCTTTATCCTGATCATACATACTCCAATGCAAGTTCAATCAATTAAAACATAATAGAGATTTAAAACTACATCAGCTTTCTCTTGGCTTTTGTTAAATTCTATTCTAGCTTCTCTCAAGTTATCCTTCTGCTTTTAACAACTGCTCACCTTTGGTTTGCTCCCTTTCAACTCTGGCCATTGGACACTTTCTTTAACAAGATCACCCTTAAATTCTATAGTGAATTGAGATGAGTAGAACTAGACCTGATACACTATTGATCATATATTCACACAGGATATTCTGTGAATATCTAGCTGGAACTCGCCAGATGCTAAATAACGGGTACATTTGTATGTTTCTAACTTACAGTATTACATTTAAATAATTAAATATGTATTTCAGTTATGTATAGTATAAGCTATATTAATATGCAACATTTAATTTCTTAAATATAATAACTGCATTGGTAAAATGTGATAGGCATGGTACACGAAGCTTTACATGTGACAATTCTGCTTCTGTGCTCAGTAATATTGCTAACTAGGCCAAATCTCGGGTGTTCTTGGTTAATGGCTGGAAACACTGCTAGCAGCAAAAGCACCCAAGAGATGACCTAAAGCAAAGTGGTTGTTGAAGCTCTTTGTAATACGCCTCTTATTCATTGTTAATACTATTTATCATTAATTACAATTATTATTGTAGAATTTTCAGCAGCTCTTTAGGTAAAGCTTTAACATAATTAAAAAAATGCAACTACAACTTGGTAAACTACAAATCACAAATCATTTCAAAGCTTTTCTTCCAGAAAGATGATGTCACAATAATACTTCTAAATGAAATTTACATCATCAAAAGGTTACAGATTATTTTTAATTATTTTTTTAAAGTTAAAACAAGGATAAAAGGTGTACTGCATTGAAGAATAAAATGTGTACTTAAGTATAAAAGAACAATCCAATCACAACATAGGATGAGAGCCTAAGCATAACCCAGTGTGTCCTATTCACAGTTAATTTGAACTATCTTGACATGAAATTCAAATTTAAAGAATAATTTCCACTTAAATTTCCTCTTATATTTTGTTTTATCAAAAATAAATTTGAAAATATGAGAGATTAGAATTCAAAAACAAAAATAATTATTAATAAAATGAATTTATAATATCTTTCATTTTAAAAATGAACTTGTGTTTTGGAAAATTAAAAAAAAATTCAGTAAGCTAAAGTTTTAAACACTAAATATTTAGCTTAAGAGATTGAAATAAGTAAGTACACTCGGGTTCGGTTATACAGCAGTTTGCTACTGTGGGTTTGGATATAATGCGGATGCCTCTTGGCTCTCAAAAATTATATTATTGCCTCCTAGCAGCATTTGCCCCTCAGGATCTATATATAATCATAGAACTCAATGAAAAAGGCATGCTTGACAGCTTCTCACTCACTCACAACAATTAGAAAAGCTATCACTATTTATAATAATTGCCTTGTTCAATCCAAAATAGAACACAAAACCTAAGAATGTAAGCGAAAAGAATTAGGAAAGAAAAATGAGAATATTCATGTACTTCTACGAAAAACAGGAAGACTACTGTGATGTCACAAATGCTTGTTTATTGCATTGTTTATTAAACAATGTGGAGTTTCCAATTGTATTAAATTTAGGATATCAGTACAAGTTATCAGTTTTGGCACATTTCTGACAATTCAATCAGATTAGGACTAGAGAACATACAACATGTATAGGCCAACTGCACATCATCTTCATCACCAAAATGTCTACCATCACCATGATTGCCGAGAAGCTTGCCATCATTGACAGAACTAGAAAAAGATCGCGCCAATGCCTGATAGTAAAAGAATAAGGCATTGCCACATCATACATTATTTAGATTCCGTTGCAAACATTGTCAAATAGGCCTTTCCTTTCACGGGTCATCATTTAGTATAGTTCACATGGCTCATATGGCACAACAACTGGCAATGGGGCTGGGCTCTGTTGTCTGAACTTGGGTTCCTTTATACAGCAGTCCACATACAAGGCAGTCATGGATCTTGCCTCCCAAAATTCTTGCTATGACGAGATCCAAGTGTACATTTTTAATAGACTTATTTGAGAAACCTTCTTTATTGCTGCAATGTTTACAACTTTAATATAGATCCAAAATTGATCCATACAATTTACCCCCCCATATGTGATTTGTCCAAAATAATTTGGTGCCCTCCATGTTTCAAAAAACATTTTCCTGAGTTAATTTGGGCAAAGAGTTTCTCCCTGTATTTTTAATTATTCACACAAATTTATTCACCTTATCATGTAATACAATCAGTGCTCACTAGATGGTATTGGAAGTGCTGTTTGTGCTGATTTCTATTGGATTTATTCTGAATTATATATCATAAACTCTGGAAAAAAGCATTTCTGTTCTTTAACTCTCTCGCTACGAGCTCATTCGATTCAGCCAATTCATAACCCAAAATTAACCTTTATAGTTTCCATGAAATATTTTCACAAAAATTTCTCCATGAATATATGGAGTTCAAATGTTCACTGATCCGAGTGCAAGGCAATTTTCATGTTAAGATTAAAAATACTTTTCATCATCTGATAAATTTCAAATTTCTTTTGCACAATTTCTAAAACTTTCTAAATAATTACAAACATTTTTTTTCAGTAAAAATATATATTTTACCTGTTATTTTCTCTACCCTAACTCTGTATGGGATTGGTCAATTTTACTGACCTCATAACCACCAAAAAAAACAAAACAAAATTACCCATTACCCCTTTTTTTCTTTCTAGAATGACTAAATTGTAACATGAAACTATTTCTTTATCCTTTAAACTTGTAACAGTATACATCTGTTTATACTTTAATTTTATTGTTGTATTGCCCTTTGAACCTGTCTAATATTTGCACCATACAAGTTGTCACTCAGCCACTCGTGATAAGTAAATTACAGAAGAGGGGATGCCCAGAGAAAAATGTCACAATTTTCATACTAGGGGAAATTCAGGAATATTTTTTACATATTGGCTTATAATAATACGAACTTAAAGCTTATAGGCTATTAAAATTTGGATTATTAGCAATATTTTTTTTTGTTATATTTATTTTCCAACTTTTGTTTCTTTTTCACATTTCATATAACTCAGTTAACTTTTCCACACACTCCCTGGGCATTTCATCTTTGGTATTTCCTGGATAGCACGCCCACCTTTCTGACAATGCTTCTCGACAAAGTGTAGTAGTTACACCTCCTACACTGCTTATATCCACTTCAGGATGATTACAGTGGACCAGAGACAGTGCTTGGCTAATAGCTAGTGATTGAGCAGCATTCCCAACTCAGAATTTGCATGTCGATGAGATGTAAATAATGGTGGCTTGGGGGATGTAAATGACAACCTCGTTTCAATATTGAGTTCATTTGCTCCACATGCATTAAGCTTGGATGCTACAACAACTTCTGCCTTGGATATATTGGATGAGCAAATGATTTTAGCAGCATTAATCACCCATTGAACCTCGTCTGCTTCGGCTTCCGGTTTTTGCTTTGAACTTTTTTCACTAACATTAGACCATTCAACAGATTGGCATCAAGTACCTTTCTGGTAGTGCCTGCAATTTCAACTCTAAATGTTAAGGCCTTGTATACGTCCATTTCTGTCTTCCAGAAATGAGTTGAATGCCAAATTAAAATATGAAAAGCGGGTATCCAGTCTCCCTCTACCAGTTTGAGGCTCCGTATAAATTCACTTCTCGAAATGGAGCTAACTGATTACAGAAAAGGCATCATCAGGTACCCGATGAGGCCTTTACTGGTGAAACCATGGCCATTAATAAATAAAAGTTTTTGTGAAACATACAATTGTCTTTGACTTTTCCTCAATTCTGTAACAATGGAGTTTCATTAACTCTCCCAATTTGACCGAGTCACGTGACCTTCTGTACTCGTTTAAAGTTGATATAAATTTAATACTTATAACTATATATTGGGTATATCTTCACGAAATGTGGCAGTCTTTCAGATAATATTACTAGTCTTTCACATATAAAAAGTCATATTTCTTAGTGAGTATTTCTAATAAAATAAAGTTTTGTCCATGAATATATTGAGTATTTGCTTTGAATAGGTCGTATACAAAGTAATTTTCATGTTAAAATTAAAAATACTTTGTCATCTCAAAAATCTCAAATTTCCTTTGTGTAATCCCTAAAACCTCCTAAATTCATTTAAAACATTTTTTTATAGTTTATATGTTATTTTCTCTACCCTATCTCAAAATGGTATCAGTCAAATCGACCGACCTCGTTACCACAAAAAAAAACGAAATTAACCTTCTTTTCTTTCTAGAATGACTTCAAATTGTAACCTGAAACTACATTCATTTATCCTAACATTATACATGTATCTATAATTAAATTTTATTGTTTTATTGCCCTTTGAACTGTATCTAACTGCTATCCCCGCCATAAGTTGTAAATCACTCTGAGAACATGCAACTCACGTTATGTTATCGAATTACATTACCCACAAGCTGCTTGTGTGCATGCCTCGTGAACCATTTTAATCATATTATTATTACTTATTTTACCTAATCTAGTCTTAAATAACTTGAAAAAATGCGTACTTTTAATTTTAGTTACTTTTATAATAATAAATAAAGAATAAATATGAAAAACAAGAAATAAAGTACTTACCCAATCTTCTTTCTTGCCCTCGATTGTGGAAGAGAGTTAAGCCTGATTTTTTTTGAGTGATTATAGTAAAGCACTTAACAATTTTTATTTAATTAAATAATACACCAAAGAATATACTCCAATAACATGCAAAAAAGTAGACAAATTCACTTACTTCTAAAAATTTTCCTGGCTTTCTAACTATACGACAAAAGCCGTTACAAATTCATCCAAGCTAGTTGTTAACTTTCCTATGGGAACAATGTTAATACTTCAAGTGAAATTGACAGTTCTGTTCAGAACACAACGTTTTACAATACACCATTTGATAGATGAAAACCTCAATTTTCTATTGGTTATAAGTAATATATAATGAAATGTAAGAGAGAACTATCAACAAATTGTGAAAGAGAGGATGTGACAAGTGGGTGTGGCAGGAGGGGTTTGATTTTCTGTTCGATAGCTCTGTAACCAAACAAAATTATAGGCTATGAAAATTATGATCTGTTTGAGCAATAATGATTTTATAGAGAGTATTTTACGTTTAATTTTGTACATTTGAGGGGTGATGGATAAAATAGGGATGATGACATGCCAAGACAAAATGTGTTAAGTGTTGCACTAGTGGAATTTTTTTTTTTATATATATTTCCTTGTAGAATTAAGAACTTAAAACTTGTATACTATTAAAATATGGATTATTAGCTAAGATTTTAAGCTATTCTAATTGGTATAACAAACAAAAGGTAGTTTAATAAAATTGTGAATGTACGACACTAAAACTTTGTGTCATGTGCAGTAAAGTGTACCTGGGCTGATAGGGTTAAGTAAGGACGGGTTCAAGTGTCAATTATAGATTACAGAAATGTTTAATCAAACCAGATATATTCAACTGAAATGCTAAACTGCCTCTTAACACTCGTATATAAATTTTGCAAATAATTTTAAACATGACAAAGACCAAAGCCCTCAATTTAAGTACCTGACTTTTCCATCAGAGCAAGCAGTAGACATCAGGTATGGAGCAAAACAGGCTGGATAAATGTTCGAGGAACTCAGGTGACCTGCTGCTGGGGCAGCATGAATAACATCTACATCTTCTGGCAGGGAAAGAACTTCAGTGCATATCTAAAGAAAAACATCTTACTTGTCACAGAAAATAAACCACAACTTTATGAAACTTTAAATTCTTTATCTGACTCTGTAATTACACAATTATTCTCAAACTGGAATTATTATGTCCTTTCGCAAGAATTAATAAAACTTTTCACACTAGAATTAATATCAAAATCAATAAGTTCTGAACATTAATATCATAATTTACAACACACTATTCTCTCATTATTTCTTTTTACTCAGAATCGATAGTAACAATCAATAAACCAATAATTAATCAATGTTGCTGAAAAACACTTCTAACAGTGACTAGCATATTGTACCTACATCTGTATGCTGAATCATGCTTCTCAAAATCAACAGTAAAGTTTACAAATCTAGTTAAATTATGCACCGAGAAAAAACAGTGAATGAAATCTGTTCCTAAACTGCTATACAAATTACACCTATCAAAATATTCAAAACAGCCCAAGTGTTTAATAAAAATAAACTGTAAACCTTTTTTGTTGTAATTCTCAGAGGCTGAGCGTGAGGTGATAAAAAACTAGTACCACCTGTTGGCTCAGGTGTATTACTTCTTGATGAGTGGTTGGAATGATCACTATCTTGAACGAGATTGCTGTCAGGTACATAACTGAAATTCTGCCCATCACCTGAAAATATACATAACATCTAGCTACATAAAATAATAATAATAAATAAAGACAAACTCAAATATACAGATACAAGCTACCTTTGACAGAATATGGTACCTAAAAGTTCAGCCAATTTAATAAATACCAAGTTAAAGGTTCAAAATTTTTTTTTTTGCAAAAAAAGGTGACTTTCTGAAAAACTATGTAAAAGATTTAAAATTAAAATAAAGAAAAACCTGTATTGCTGACAGTGATCTATGAATATCAGCTTCTTACATTGTAAGTAGGTAACATTGCTCTCATCATATTTCATTCCAAAAATAAAACATTTAATGTTCGTTGTTTCAAATATTTCTAATAAAAATTTGTTATTTAATATGCAGTTATCAACACTCACACTCTGAATAGTTCACCTGCAAGGTGATTTTCATGTTGGGTATAAAAATACTACTTACTACCTTGCAGTTTTCACATTTCATTTGCATAATCTCTAGAACCTCCTAAACGAATATCAAGAGTTTTTGAGGTAAATGTTTATATTTTATTTTCCATTTTCTCTATCATATTATTAACTAGCTATTATCATCAACGTGCAGTGCAATAAAGTGTTTAAAATTAAGAAATGGAAATATGTAACTACCTTTTATCTCTTCGTTGCATAATTTTAAAATATCTTTTTTGGGTCATATGCATAATTTGAAGTCTTTACCTTTTCACGATTTTTTTAATATTTTTAATGTTTTATTTTCATTTCCAATTTCTTTTCTTTTATTTTTTTCAACTCGACACATTTCAACGGGTCCCCATGAGTAATATAACATTATGATCTGCAGAGAGTCTGGTTTAGCCTAGGATAAAATGTTTACACACTTCTTTTTATAACCCATGATCAGCAATGCAATGAGTAGAAAAACTTAAATAATCATAAGAGCTTTCAACTATGAATTTTAAAACAAATAATACATAATTAACTAAAATATAAAAGTAAAACCTAAATGTAATTTAACTGTCTATTAAAGTAATATGTGTAAGGCAAGAAAATATAGCGAAGTGCTAGGGACCACACTCAACAATGGACAGAGTTTAATTTCACCTCATTTGTAAATGGATATATACACCTACATTTACTGTTAACTTGATGACATTCCAATGGAAAGTTTGCTCTTTCTATTGGTTATAAGCATGGCATTCATGTTAAAACTGTCACTTAGCAGCTTCATTTCTAATTTTGAAGTGAATGTGGCTTATCTTTAACTGAAAAATTATGTTTTCCTCCAAGATAAGTTTTTGGAATTTGACTTGATTTACTCATAAGAAAGCTGTATACTTGTACTGTGAACATCTGCAAAAACACATCTAGTTACACTTATTTCTTGTATATTAGCTCTAAAGTTCAGACATCTTGAATCATGAGATAATCAAGTTACAACAAACCAAAATATCTAATTATTGTTTTAGATGTTGCTTTTGAAATAAAGGAATAAAACTTAGATACCATAAAACTTTGAATTAGAACATACCTGATAATGCTAACTTCATTGAAATATATTGATAGTAAAGTGGTTTAATTAAATTTAGAACGTAATGCAGTAACAAGTGCAGAAAGGAATTTAAAAATGGAGCCAATCGTTATAGGGTTAAAAGGTAAACCCTCATAGCTCTAAACTTATTTCTTAACTTCTACAGTATTCAAAAAATTTCTAAGTAAAAATAACCCTTAACAAACAAGTTAACTTAAATTCAATGTTAAATTCAAAAGTGTCAAACCATGAAACTAAAAATAACCAACTGATACAATCATTTCACTAATAATTATTCAGGTAAAACTACAGCTATCAAAATATTGATATCACTTTGCATTATTGCACTCATTTTGAAATATCTTACTGAATACAAGTGAACGAAACAGAATTGAAAAGTTAAAATCTTAAGTTACATGACTGTTACATTTAAATCTATTAACAAAATACTGTTCATACACTGTCCAATAAGACAGCATACTTAAATATACTCTTCATTAAAAAATAAAAGTATGTTACAATGTTAATATTCAATGTAGAATTTAATAGCAAATAAATAAGAAATCTTGTATCTATCCACAACTACACCTAGAAAATTAACAAAAATTGCTGAAATTCATTTATAATATTAATTTGTCATTTAAAATTTTCACAAAATATTTTTCTGCTAGTACAGTAATTCTGCATATAACACAAAACTGTATAAAATTATTTAATCATATTTCTTTTTCAAAGCATAAAGGAACAATCAATCATTGATTAAAAACTGGAAACTTTACCTGTGCTGGACACTAACACGTGCTTGGTCATGTTGACCTACTGAATATCTAACAACATGTACTTCATAACTTATAAAAGTCTATATGATCTAATAAGAATATGAGCTTCATAATGTATGGTGTCAAAATCTGCTATACTTATTAATATGGGCTTTACAATTTACAAACATGCTAAAAAACAATTTTTTGCATCTTGGTATAAAATTTTAAGAATACATAAAATGTTTGTTACAAGAAAAAAAAAAATCCTAGGCTTTCATATTAATTAAAATGTATAATCTTTGAATGTCACAAGTAATAACTTATTCCAAAATATAGCTTATACTTTTAAAACAATTAAGTTAGAATACAACAGTTTCATTTTCTGTTAAATGCTTTAAACAACTTTCTAGTGCTTTATAAAGCAACAAATTGTCTATATTTCAGGGCAATGAGGAAGTTTAAAGTACCCCCCCCCCCCAAACTCTATACCTGGCTCTTCTTGGACAATTGGAGTCAATACATTCACTAATACCCTAGATAAATCCCCGTTATTTCATATACTCCAAATTGAACAGACATGCAAAAACGTAAACACAACTGTAAAATTTAAAAATATAACATTATCCCCTACATATTCCATCAATTCTGTCTTATCTTAAAGAATGAAAAACAAGTTTCCCATCTCCACATTTTCCAATTCCAGTTATGTATTTTGTGGGATAAGTTCAGCCTACAAAAAAATTAAATCTAAAAATGGGCTATAGCTTCTAGAATATACCTTGTATAATTAGTTAAATATAATATTGTTGCAATTGGTACATCAAACCAAGACTGTAGTTAGGAGCCATTTTATTAGTTATTATAAAATTATATACATATATAACTACAAAAAAAATTCTAGAAATTATTAGACTATATAACTTCAAAATCTGAAAGACAACAGCACCACTTGTGTATCTGTTGCACATTCAGTGTATAACACGAAACAAAGTGTACAAGAGCCTTTTCATAAAACGTGAAACCTGAATTAGCTCTCTCTCAATTTGGCTGAGTTCATGGCCCCAAATTGGCCTTTAGTTTCCATACTATAACTTCTAATATCTTTTGTGTATCTTCACGAAATTTTGCAAGCTTTCAGTAAACATCACAAGTCTTTTGTAGACAAAAATTTAATTTTTAATTAAGTGTTTTTACTACAAATTTCTCCATGAACATATGGAACCAAAGTGTTGATTACTCCAAGTGCAAAGTGATTTTCATGTTAATATTAAAAAATACTTATCTTGTTTTGAAGATTGTCAAATATAACTTAAGTAATCTCTAAAACCTGCTAAGTAAAATTCAAACGTTTTTTTCAGTAAAATTTCATGTTATTTTCTCTACTCTAGCTCTATATGGGTTGGTCAATTTGACTGATTTTTTAACCACCACGAAAAAAAATGAAAAATCTAACTTACCCTTTTTTTCTTTCTAGAAAGACTTCAACTTGTAACAGAAAACTACATTTGTTTATCCTGAATAACAAAGCTTGTAACATTATATATCCATTTTTACTTAAATTTTATTCTTTTATTGTCCTACAAATTGTAGCTCACACTACCCTATTGAATTACATAATGCTTGAGTTACTCTCCAGCTTCTCACAAGCATACCCCAAGAAAAATTTTCATGTTTCTAATTTTTACATTTTAGTTACTTTTATGATAATAACTAAAGAATACACATGAATAACAAAAATATAATACTTATCTAGACAATTCTCTTTACATAAAACAATGTGATATAATACATCATTTGATAGAAAAAACCTTGGCTTTCTAATAGTTATAAATAATATAGTATTAAACATCAAAGAGAAATATTGGCAATTTGTAAATAGGATGTAATGGGTGGGCATGGAAAGTGGGTCTGATTTTCTAGCTTATGGATCCATAAACAAATAAGATTGAAGGCAATAAAATTTATGCTTTACCTTAGAAATAACAATATTATCACGAGTATTTTACATTAAATTTCATACTTCTTGGAGAGGTGATAAATTATAGAAGAGGGAATACCTCATACTTGGGGAGATTAATTAAATTTTCAATGTAACTCTAAAAAATTGTGACATGAGCAAGGACCTGTCTGTGGCGAGAGGGTTAATAACAAGATGTTAAAATTATTCTAAAATAATAATATATTTATTGAAATTTCCTAAAATTTATGGAAAACAAGCATCTATATTTTAATTCCAAAATCTATACTGTAGTTACTGAAAAAAAGACTCACCTTCAATTGATTGAGATGCAATTACTAGCCTCCACATGTGAAGAATTGACAAACCTTCCTCATTTTTCTCCAACACAACCAAATAAAATGGTTCTTCAAACACAGAGCTGTGCTGCAAGTCAACAACAGCTTGAAGACTAGGCTCAACAAGGCCCATGACCTTTCCTTCACTTTTACTGCTGTGTTTGGACATGGATTTATCTCCTGTAATTAGTTGTTCTTGGAATACATGTAGTAACTGTGTGTTCTTCCAATCCTGTCAAATTTTCAATGTACTATGGTTAACTCAGTCAGTCTTTACAACTTCCACAGTAAAAAAAATTATAATTATGAATCTTTCTTTTCATATCATTGTACAATTTCAATGTAAACTTATTACAAAAACCCAATAATTCACATGCTTTCAGAAGGAAAGTCTACCTTTTAAGTGAATTCAGGTTCTTTTGAAGTTTCTGAGTTCAGGTTTTGTTTATTATATGTTAACTATGTTTGTGGTACCAGATGCTTTCCATTCCTACCATCAAAGTGTAAATAAATATAGATTTTCAGAGAGATTTTTAAATCCACAGAATTTAAATCTGTTGCTTTACATCTTCATTATTATGTCATATAAGCCAATTATAGGAAAATTAAAATTTTTTGGAAAGACATAAAAATGACCTAAACTAGATAAGATGCTACTTGCCTTATTTCTAGCATCTTATTTCTTGATCTCTTCAGGAAGTCTAACCTATTACACACTAATTCCATAATGTAAGGTATCACTGTACACAATATAAATATGAACTTTGGGTAGAAATTCCTGTAATATAATACTTCCAGACGGGGTCAATTTTAGGCACCATAAACACTTACAAATCACCACAATCCAATTCTTGACAGGGGTGCTCAGAAATGGCTGTTTCTCTTCACCCTGCTCACGAGATTGGTTAACTTTGTACGAGAAATTATGGTCTTCTAGCAGAGTGTAAAGTGTTTTGGAGTAAGATGATAGGTTGATGCTGCCTCAAATGGAAAAAAGCCATGAGGAGGCTTCAACTGTATTACTTTTAAACTGTGTAGTCAGAGGCTACGAAGATGATCAGGAGCAAGGTGACCGGATATTCAAATTATTACAAAAAATTGTGAACAACCTTCCATACAAAAATACATACAAGAAAATTGAAAAAACTTGTGAACTAAGCATTGGTTTTCTATTGCATTCTTTCTTATTGTTTTCTCATTTTCTTATATTTACCATAATATTTATTTGGCACAAGTATTTTGGATTACTTTTATATTTGTTCAATCATAGGTTCTCTATTGTTCAGCTGTACAGACAAAACAGTAATCAAATTTCATCACCTCGTGAGATTTAGAAAAAATAATGGATTCTAGGCTAAAGCTGATGTGAGAAAGAAACAAAAATGTTGATTTTTCTCCAAATATAAGAGCACAAAAGTAAAATTAATCCTGTTATATACTCATCACAAAATATAGAGCTTACATGGGTGGCATCAGATATAGCATCTAATTCAATGATACATCCTGGTCGGGAAGTTGATTGTGAGCTGATGATCTTGAAAGTTTCTTGCAGGCTAAGTTGTCTATATCCTATGTCTGAAGAGGTGCTGCTAGACATACTGAAATCCTAAAACACAAGAACTTTATCCATTTACATTCCCTAACAATTTTATATGTTGATCTCTGTCTACATCTGTTATCTTTATATTTTCTAAAACAACATAGCAAACAAAAAACTTGGTGCTATTTCTATTTTTAATTTAGCTTTCTCCTCTAGCTTTTATTTACATATATTTCCATCAAGTTTACATTACTTGGGTTACATGTTTGTCTGGCCAAGAAAGCTTTTCAATACCAACTATTTTTTTATTACATGATTTTATTTTGCTTGAGACTTTACAACCTGCAATTTGGTCTTATTACTCTTAAAATAACAAGTATTAATTCTGTTAACTCTAAGCATGGGCTCGGTCCCAGGGACTGACCTCCTAACCATTTTGTGGTTGCTACAGTTTTCATTCTATAACTCTTATAAATTAGTAAGCATATCTTAACGAACAGGAACATCGAGAGCCAGCATGGGTCCCGGGGCAAACATCCTCGCCGGGCCCCTTTCTCTCTAACATTTTCAAGAATTTATTAAAAAGAAGATCCTAAATTAGGACAGCAACAGTTCATAAACCAGACAAAATCATAGCATCAGCCGTTTTTACCACAAAGTATAAGCGTAAAAACATTAATAAAGTAACAACAAATATCTGTTAAATCTATAAAGTAACAAATACATATTAATTATTACTCAAATTATTATTTCATTCGTTCTTAATGTAGCGTCTATATGCAAAGAAAAGCCAAAAACTATGGTTTTTTATCATTAAATGAAGATATAGTCTAAAGATGCTTTGCAGGCTTTACGGCATAACCAGGTTTCATTCACCCAGGCCCCTGGGCAGTTGCCCCCTTTGAAATAGAATAATAAAATCACATGAAAGCAGTAATAGGAATGAAGTTATGGTAAATAGTTTGTTTTTGGAATTTCATACAAAGCTAAATGAGGGGCTATCTGTGCTAATTATCCCTAATATGACAGACTAGAGGGGAACAACATCAACTCTTGGACCACTTTTACCAACAAAAATTGGGATTGACCATCAGATTATAATGCTTCCAGGACTGAAAGGGCAAGCATGTATGGTGATAGGATTTGTACTAATGACCTGCAAGCTGAGTCGAGCACCTTAATCACCAGGCCCTAAATAATTGTAATTGTCTGTTACAATCTGCAGTCATTCTTGAAAAATAAAAGGAATTTTTATTTTCTTTGATATTTTCAACTTCTCATTCACTGTACATAGGTTGATTTCACTACAGTTAGTGAAGTTTTACATTAAAAAAAAATTATATTCATTCAGATTTTAGTTATGCAAATTAAATATGAAAATTGTAAGATGAAAAAATATTTTTATTCTTGGCATGAAAGTTACTTTTCATTCAGACTGAAATTATTAAAGGTTTCATAAATTCCTGGACAAATCTTTAGTAAAAATTCTTTATTAAAAAAATATGATTTTTTGTGTGAAACATACTTGTAATATCTACTAAAAGTCTGTAAAATTTTGTGAAGATACACTTACTAAATTCAGAGCTACAGTACGTATAACTTCATGGTAAAATGGTGATTACAAGGTTGTTTAAATTGACTGAGTTTGTGTCAATATGGTTAAATGTTTAGGTTGTATTTCTAACTAAATGCAACAAAAGCCTAATAATAAAAAAAAGAACTGTCACTAAATATTCCACCAGACAAGAATAAGTAATGTTTTTTCTTTAAGTGTAAAGCTACACAATGGGTTATCTGTGCTCTGTCCACCTCAGCAAATTGAACTCCAGATTTTAGTGATAAGTTTGAAGACTTACTGCTGACTAACTGAGGGTCAAAAATGCAATACTGATCACAGTAACGTCTTCAAGTATGTGCTATGTATTTTCTATAGTTCAATGAAAAATGTTAAAGAAAGATTATGAATTCAGAGCTAATGTTTACACTTTGTCCGAGAAGTAATGAAACTTGGGCATAAGAGTTATACTGACCCAATATTCTGGGACAAATAGTAAAAAAATAGTTATCTAGGTGTTTTATTTTTGCAGACAAAATTAGAAGTTCCTAGAAGCAAAGTAAACCTGTAAAAAATATTACATATTTTATCTATATAAACTGATATTCTTGATTGTTAAGTATACAAAAACATTTTGATCAACAGCATATTAAATAGATGAGTAAAATGCATATTAGTTCAACAGTTAGTTAGAATGATAGGACACTTATTAACATTTTAATATTATTAATAAAAGGCTTGAAAGAAATAAGGTTCAAATTACTGAGTCTCTCTGTTTTCTTTCTGCAGATGAAACTTCAGCCAAAAGAGTCCTGGCATCAATAACAGCTTGATAGATTCTAAGTTGCTGACCATCAGATGCCACAAAACATGCACTTGGAGAGTTCGAGATACTTCCTAGAGTTGTGCTGAAAAGGGTTTATTGAAATATTTCACTGACAAGAATTTCTGTTAATTTATTTGTACTATCATAATTATTCAAACTTTAAAAGATTTTTTGTCATAAAAGAAAAATAAATGTTATATTAAGATTGTCAACTAAATCAAAATAATTTTAATTACAAAACATAGAATCCATATTTGAAACCTATATTATTTGACCCGAAATACGTAACCTGTTAATTCTTTCAATAACTATAATTAAGAACACTAACCTAGGAAGTAATGTTGGGATCCATGCTATATTAGCAAAAGCAGCAGTTTCAAGAGAGTTTATTCGTGCTAGCTCTGTTACTCCACCTGACTTAGAAAGGGGTCCAACTGGGTCCACCTTCCACAGAATCAGTTCACTACAAAAACCAATTTGCGGCATACCAGTAGGAGGATAACAATCTGGTGAACTGGGAGTCACGGGAGTGGAATGATTTCCTGACCCATTTCTTCCAGGAAGATTGTGATGAGAGGTGGTCAACAGCAATGGCAAAACTGGATGACATGTGATATCATTAATACGGAAACGGTGACCACATATTCGTTTTCCATGGCTAATACTCAAAATCTGGTGAAAATGGCAAAAAAATCACTATATAAATATCTACTTTTTCTATTTTGTTATCAAATATGTACATTAAGTAACAATTTGTCTCCTTGGAAACACTATTTTATGGTATAATTGATTGAAGAGATCATTTTATTTTTTCCTATATTTAAATCAAACCTTTCATTCTGAAACAGTAGATTACAGTTATATTCAGATTTAGTACAAAACTGTTAAAAAGCTGTATTGAATACTTTAACGTTTCTTGTATTTTGGTGAATAATAATTATGAGTAAAGTACACTTGTTATCCAATAACAGATTCCAGTTCACAGCAGTAAATATTTACTGAATTTTTATCTGAACAATTTGTAAACGATGATGCAGCCGTCTGCTTCAGCACAGATACAAGTTGTGGTGCCAAAGCAAACTATATATTTGGTTTACAGCATTTTCATAATCACTTAACACTGCAAAGCTACCATAGTTAGACTACAAATACATCTATAAAAAAAGACATTCTTAAGGGAAATATCCAAACAGCAGAACTGTTAAACAACTAGAGCCAAAAAACACATTCTGAAAGTGGGAGCCTTCAATGTTTTCTAAAGAAATAAAACAAAACTTGCACAGTAATGAGCTTGAAATCACATCCCAGGTCAATTCAATGCAATGCTTTATCTTATCATAAAAGGGACCCTTCAATAACCCCACCAAAAACAAAACAAAGCCATAAAGTTGGGCATATTGCCTGTTGTTGTTAGCAAGATAATAAACAAAGATTTGAAGTGGATGAAGCTCGGGAACCAAAAGTTAAACTTTGAGAAACACCTCAAATAAAACAGCTGTTTTTACGAGAAAAATTAATAAAGAACCTAGAATCATATCAATCTAATTTCACCACATACCTGTCAAGTCCCTGAATAAATCTCCAATTAGCTTTTACATTTGTTATCTGCTTAAATGTGTTCTTTTAAGACAACATCTGTGACATTTTTATCAAGATGTTTGATCTAAGATTAACCTTCTGTCCCTTGCAGAAAGTATGTACAAAATGTTTATACAGCTCATCTTTCTTATGACACAAAAATATTTATTTACTCCCTAGTTTTTAGAATGATGAGTACTCCTTCATTAAGGATTGAAAGTATAAGAAATAACTTTTCATGTCTTCAAACCCCAGACAAAGGCTTTTTACAACAGACACTATATATATATATATATATAACGCCCACATTGCACTGAGGTACATGATCTACCTGA